GATCACTTTTCATCGCTTTTCCTTTTCGGCCTCTGAACTTTATGTTGTACTTAGAAATACCTTTTGCAGCCAAGATTATAAATTCACCCGTTGTTTCTTCTAGAACATTTTGATAGGTTCATTTTTATTTTTTGCAGGTAGCTTCCATGTGGAACTGATTGTAGTGTGAGGCTGTAAGCTAGATATCGTCTCTTAGCACTTGACATTATTATGTCCCATGCCTCCCCATCTCTTACCACAGGCATGAAAGGCTAAAAATGAAGTTTTGCAGACTCAAAGCTAAGTAGAATTCTAAACAGGTTAGATTCTGCCGGTGGTTTGCATTTGGTAAAGATCTGGAAGGTAGAAAGGAGGCAGAGGCCGTCTCCCGTGGCTGTGGCAGTGGACACGCTCCTGCCCAGGGGAGTTGTTGGCAGCAACCAGACTCCGAGTTAGTGTCTGTCACCTGCTTCATGGTGTGAGGCAATGTGGTGTCAGCAGCGCTAGCTTCCTGTTCCCTGGATCGCAGATAGCGATATGACTGAGTCTAAAACCATAGTGGCCCCAAGTTTCTGCCCCTACAACTTTTTCCATGATTTTTAAGGACTTAATTCTCTATTAAATCCCTCTCTGCTTGCAGTATCTGAGAAGAGTTTCTGTTCCTACCGTGAGCCCTGACTGATCCAGTATTGCACAGGGAGCTGGCATAATTTCTTTCTAAACAGCCAGATGCCGTACCAGATTTTACTGGGTAACCCTCTTTCCCCAACTAATCTGAAATGCTACCTTTATCATAGTATTTACATTTTGGTCTAAATTTATATTTGTATTTATAGTTTGGTGTTTTTCTGGATTTTGTTTTATTGACCTACAGTTTGTATTTCTTTTTCCCTATTTTAATTCATGGTGTTTTTGATATGTGATGGACGTAATCTCTACTCCACCCTCACCTAAATTACTGTCATTTTTCCGAAATTTTCTGGCTACTGCATTTTTCTAAATGAATTTTAGTGTCATTTGTTAATACCAGAAGTATTTTGGTATTTTCATTAGGTTTACAGTAAATTTATAGGTTAAGTCAGGAAAAAAGGACATCTTTATCATTTTGAAACTTGATGTTCAGGAGTATGGAATGTCTTTTCAATTACCTAAATCTTTATGACCTTCAGAATCTTCGTTTTCTTCATATAGGTCCTGCACATTGCCATAATGTCTTTTGTGGTTCCATGTGAACTGGATCTTTTTTTGGTGTTATTCTTTTCAAACAGATTTTTTATATATGGAAAAATTAGTGCTTTTGACATATTAATTTCATAACTTGGTATTTTACTAAGTAATGATAATAAAATAATAACATGAAAATGCTTAGTTAGTGCTTTGTATGTGCCAGGCCCCATTTTTAAGTGCTTATATTACCCCATTTAATCCTGTGAGGATAGGTGCTATTGTTATTATCTCTGTTTTAAAGCGGAGGAGATTAAGGCACAAAGAGGCTATGTAATTTAACCTGGCTGTGTATGTGGAGAGGAAGGCTTGACATTAATAAACAGCTCTCTTTGCATATCGAGCATAAGAACAGTACATTGCTAACGAGAGGGTTAATTTTTAGTGTCTGCGTTTTGTCTCAGATCCTTCTATGCCTTGGTAACTATCTGTCCAGGGTTAGTACACGTCTGGAACAGAGATTTAGAATAATGTGACAAATGGAAGCAAAAGTGTGGTGACAGCAAACAGTGGTCCATTCACTCAGTCACTTCACACCCCAGTGATCACTTTCCCCCTCACACTGATAGGAGATCCTTTGAGACCTACATTGTATATTTCAGGCTTATCGTTGGAGAGACCTTTGTTTCCTAAATCTCTTACTGAATTTGAAGACGTAAGAGGTCGTCTCACATAAATTCCTAGTATAAGCTGATTCTCCGTTCATGATTAGCAATTACAGATCCTGATATCAAGACCCCAAAAAAGACTTTTTTGTTGTTGCAACTAACTGAAACCATTCACTCCCTATCTTGGAAGCACAGTTTTGCTTCCTGTTGAAATGTGCTTGGTTTATAAAATATAGTGGATTCACATTATTCAGCCATATTTACAAAATATAATGGTTCACACACAAAAGTTCACAGCAACAGTTCACACAGAAAAAAATTCTTGGATTTGAGCCCAAAAGGCCCAGCTCCTAGCAGTTTCCTTTGTAAGACGTGACACCTCCATCACTCAGTTCTGCTCTTGGTGTTTGTACCCTCGTGAATCCCAGCAGCACGCACGGAGATTGTTTTAAAATCAAAGGAGCAAGAAATTTTTCCCTCCCACAGTAGAATTCCTACTACCAAAACAACATTTTGGGTATTAAATATACATAAATATATATTGATATGTAGTATGAATTAGGTCTATTTTAAATAACTCATAAGCAATAAAACTACAATAGAGGGGCCGGCTCCATGCCCGAGTGGTTAAGTTCGCGCGCTCCGCTGCAGTGGCCCAGGGCTCGGATCCTGGGTGCGGACATGGCACCGCTCATCAGGCCACGTTGAGGCGGTGTCCCACATCTCACAACTAGAAGGACCTGCAACTAAGATATACAACTATGTACAGGGGGCGTTTGGGGAGATAAAGCAGAAAAAAAAACAAAGATTGGCAACAGTTGTTAGCCCAGGTGCCAATCCTTAAAAAAAAAAAAAACTACAATAGAAAGGAATGATAAAAAGATGAGTTTCCGTTTGTATAATAGTTAACTAAAGTGGATGGCCAGAACTTTCTCTTAAAGAGGTGAAGGTCTTCTACACAGGCTCACCTCATCCTGCTGTCCGGCTCCTGGGAGCCTCGAGCAGCGGGAGCACAGCCACACACGGGAAGAAGCACAGAGAGGCCTCTGCACCGTGGAAACTGCAAAGTGTCTACACTGAGCCCCTTGACTCAGCATTAGCGATCCAACTGCTTTTAGTTAATAAGCTTGCTTTTCTGGGTTATTACTGCAGCGGAACTGGAGGAGAGGTCTCTCAGAATCAACACACACAAGTTGCATGACGGAGGAGACAGCCAAGGCTACAGATTCAGTAAATATAAAATTATCCTTGTAAATCAGAGCCTAGCACTTTTCCAGAACTTCATGAGGACATTGCCCTATTTCTGTTTCTTGGATTAAGTGTGTTGCAGTGATTGTCATAATGATCCTCAATCATCAAGGAAATGTAAAGTTACATTTAGAATACAGTTTAATAAAGCAGAGGTGGGCCATATTTTTAAATCAAAAATGATTACAATAGTATATTTTCTATAAGGGTTAATTTAAGGGATTAGGAGCATTCATATATGGCAGTTTTTTCTAACCTCTGGGTTCCACAGATTTGTTTCAGGTGTCCTTGAACTTTTAAGAATTGTGTGTGGAATCATACGTGTCCACATATCCCTCTTCCATGGGAGAGCGGAGCGTGGGCGAGGGGGACTCCAGAGCTTTCATCAGCTTCTCCAAGAGGGTCGAGTCCAAAAAGGGTTAAGAACTAATCAGTCATATAAGAGCACTTCAACCAAGCCAGAGAAGTGTAGAATTTTAAACTTGGGGACAGGATAATGATGCTTAGCGCACAAAACAGGCTGTCATCTTGTGATTAAATTTAGGTTTCTAGAAGTCTCTTAGCACATACACAGTGTAAGCTCCTTTTTTTCTCTTAAGTTACCACTGCTGGTCTTCACTATCCTCCTTATAATAAGTGCTACAGCTTAAAATAAGGCTAGCTACAAAGTCAGAGGTGTCTTGAGTCTGGTCTCTGCTTTTTCTCTTTCAAGACACCCTAAACCAATTTCCAACCCCCAAAGTTAAAAATAGCCCGTTCTCCAGCCAGCTAGACAAACAGCAGCTGCCTTGGCCACCACGGAAAGCTTCAAGTGGGAATGGATTCAACTCTCCTTACCACTGGGCGAAGCTCTGGGGGTTGGGAAACCGTTTGTTGAGTGTTTGGAGTCAATGGAGGCCTTGGGAAAGAGGGAAAGAGCCATATTCTGCTGCTCTGTCTTTAAGGAGGTTATAAATCAGTCTTCAAGAAGCAAATCAAAATCTCGTTCTGGCATTCTACGAGAAATGCTGTAAATTGACTTAATCCCTGGTACGTAGTTTTAATGAATTGTCTTCACTTTTGCCCCAAATTTCATTAATCTAGGACTATTGTTTTTGCATATTTCTGACTTCAGGAGATCTTTGAACAGTTTATAATATAGCGTATTGTAAGAATTTCATACGGTACAGAAAGTCAATGAAAAGTAAAGATCCTCCCTTCCGCGCAGAACGCCCAGGTCCATTTCCTAGCAGTCCACTGAATACTTTGTGTATATTTCTACAAAATATGTACGCCCTTTGAAAACATGCGCAGATGAGGCCGCACTCTAGATATTATTAGGCATCGTGCTCCTTTTCACTATCTTGAGGTAATCCACTCTCATTCTTTGCAGTGGCTGCAGAGTATTAATTGATTGCCTGTCATTATTTATGAATCATCACATGGGGTATTTAGATTGGTTCCTCTTGGGGGCCGTTCCCGTCATGCTCCAGTGGCCATCCTCGTACACATACCACGGCCTATTGGGTGAGTTACCTATAAACTACATTGTTAGTAGCGCAATTGCTGCTCAAAGGGTGAGTGTTTTTAGAATTTGTAGAATTTGATAGATATTATCAAGTTGCCTTCCAACAAGGTTGCACCAATTTACATTTCCACCAGCAGTGAATGAGAGTACCTGTCTCTCCCATCCTCCATGACACTGGGTTTTTCAGACTTTAGTTTTTGCCATGCTAATAGGTAAAAGTATATTTTTTTATTTCTTTTATTATGTTAAGAATAACAGATTTGTTATAAAATAATTACTTGATTTTGATTTTAAGAATCAGAGGTCCTTTTTTTTTTTGTCATTTAAGCAATTTGTATCCCCCATTTCTTATGGTTTTAGTGTTTTCTCTGGAAAGTCATCTTCCAAAATTGGGTTATAAATAAAATACTTTTTTGGGGAAGGTCAAATTTTCTTTGCTTTTTTTTTTTAATCCTTACGTCAAACTAATATTTCAGTTGATTCCTCCATCTCTGTATTTTGGCAAGATCTTCTGCTATGGTCCTAATCATTTGATCAGTAGTTTGTTTCAAAGTGGTTGCCGTCCTTAGGGCGTGATCCAAAGATGAGTTTAAAATCTGCAGAGGAAAAGTCCACACATGTTAGTTACATAAATTTACTACATAAAATTACATAATTTTAATTAGGTTCTTTCATTATTAAACATTGCAAGGTGGGATTTTTGGAGTATTCTGTTTCCCACCTAGTCTATTTGTGTTTTTGAGAATTGGTTTCCTAGGAAACCGTCTGAGATGGAATATATTTTTTAGGGAAAGGGACAGAAAAAAGACCAACACGTGACTGATGAACATGAATCAGAGGGTGAGGTCAGCACCTGCGGGGCTGTGCCCGTACTGCAGAGAAAGAAGAAAAGCTGCTGGGAGGCCAGGGCAGGGGATTTAGGGGCTGTCACCACTGAGGGCACCCAGGGACACAGCAGATGCATTTGGAAGTGGCCTGGGATTAGAGCGAACTGATTGGAAAATGGGAAACCACTGGCAGCTCTTACCCCACTGTCACTGGGACAGACTTGTGAGCTGCTGCTGGGAACGTCTCAGTGCCTTCATGCCTGGGCCAGAGGAATTCTGTAGCTGAGCCACCACCCACAAAACCCTTTCTCCAGGAAATTTCCCTTGGAACCAATTTAGGAATAATACAAACCATATGACTACTCAGGCTTTATTTTAGTGCTGAGCACGGGTTGTTTTCTGATGCCTTCATACTGTAATAATTTAAAAGCCATCACTTCTGTGGTCATCTAGGCCAAACTTACAAGATGCAAGGGTTCTAGAATGTTTTATTCTAGGTCCTCACCTCAGCTTCCATGTCTTCTGTACTGCTAAAGTTGCTTAAGGATGTGCTGCCAGAAATCCTGCAGGAGTGGAAATGGGGCAGAGGTGTAGCAGGGTCTGAACTGTAGGTCATGAAAGCCTTAAGATCTTTTCTGGAAGGAAGAGCACACTGATACTTGTATAAAGCACCACCCTCAGCTCTGTGGTTCAGCAGTGGCTGTGTGTGTGTGTGTTGGAAGTGAGGAGTTTGTACGTCCTCTGCCTTTCGCAGCTCTCATAGTCCCATGGTGGCTGACCACACCTGAGCTTCAGAAAAAGCTTGTTCCCATGACCATGAAGGACACTTCCTCCCAGAACCTGTCTCCTTGGCGTAGAAAGAGGCAAGACTCCAAAGAAATTCTTATTCAGTTCATTCTTTGGGGGCCAACCTTCTACCCCACTATTTATGAAACATGCAAATCTGCCAATTGCAGACACTTCAAGTTGAGTTCATTCTAGCACCAGTGAGCTTATATAGCAAGGAGGCAGCAGTAGTAGAAAAGTAAAAGCAGAGCCTCTTTAAGTAAACAGGCTCCCCTGGACTGCTCTGCTATGACTGTGACTCTCTCTTAGCGATGGTCTGAGTGAATGAGGGGTGCCAGGGCCACAGTGTACGGTTGTTCAGGTGTGCACTGCAGAACTCTAGGGAGTTCCATTCACAAAGTCTGTGTGAAAGGCACTGCCTGGAGTTCCGCTTTGCACAACCATGAGTAGTGGCCCTAAGGGATGCCACAAGACCTTGCCTGTTGACAAGTGGGCCATGGCGCCATCCTCACAGCTTTTCCTGGCTTGAGATTCCTCCTTTGGTACAAACAATAGTTGTGAGCGGTATCATCTCCAGAAAGTCTGACTTCAAATGCTTGTGGCTCAAAGCCTCTCTTTATACCTCTCCCCCCACCACATTAACATCAGCTGGTTCTGCAGGTTAGTTGAACACATTGGATCTATCCTCCAGTTGAGAGAGGTGATCAGTGTCAGGGCCCCTAATGAAAAACTAGGCAGAGTGTGGCCATGTGGTGCAGTAGGAAGAGCGTGGGCTTTGGAGTCCTCTATGTCCCCACATCCAATCGCTCACCACTATCAAGAGTGATAATAGCCATCACTTGCTGAATGCCACGTACCTTCTAAGTGCTTTATATGTATTGACTCAGTCCTCAATGAAGTCAGCACTATTATTGTTCCCATATGGGGAATAGTGGGGAAGCACAATGGGGAAGGGGAGGCACAGAGAGGTCAAGCATCCTGCCCAAGAAGACAGAACCAAGATGCAAACCCAAGAACGCCCCAGAGGCCACCTCCTTAAACCCTGCACGGCACTGTGGTGGTGGGTAGTGGTTCACGCTGAGTGGGACTGCAGAGCCTGATCTATTAACCCTCCTGCTACACTAATGATTCTGCCTCCTGAATGGCAGTCCAGCACTGAACTTGTCTCTTTCCTTTTCTACCACCTTGGCCAAGCTGCCGTCATCGCACCTGGATTATTGCACAAGCCTCTCATTTGGCCTCTGTGCTCCAACCCGACTCCTCTAATCCATTCCCGCTCTCTTAGTAGCTTGAGTGATCTTTTAAAACACTAAAAAAAATTTTAAACTCTGGGTGAAAAAACTTCATTGGCTTCCCATTGTACCTAAGAGTCTGAAATCCTTCCTGTAACTGACAAGCCCGGGCACAGTCTGGCCCTGCCCACCTCACCAGCCTTCCCTCCCCAGCCCCAGCTTGCCCCGCCGCCACTCCCTCTTTTAGGCTCCAGCCACATGGCTCCCGAACTTGCCAAGGGCCTTCCATGCCAGGAAGCTCTCAGATTGAACGTTCTTCGCTCTGACCCCCCCATCCCCTTGCTAGTTTTGCTTCCCTGCACCCCCAAATTGGGTGCTAGCATTCTGTATGCCCCCTTCTTGGCACTTAGACAGACTGGCTCCAATCCCAAAAAAGCCAGCTCCTAAGTACTGACTCTGAGGGCAAGGACAGTTGTTGACTTTGTCACTGTGTCCTCAGCACCTAGCCTAGCACCCTGCTGCTGTTGACACTCAAATATTTGTCGAATGAATAAATGAATGATTAAAGTATTGATAGACTTCGGTTTGAATCCTGGCTCTGCCAAGGATCTAGGTGATCTTGGGCAGGTAATTATGCACCCAACCAGTAGGTAGGCAATTTTGTTACCATTTGTAATAAAATAAGACTTACTTTCCTGGTATGGGCTCGCGTTCATCTTGAGAAGATTTTGAATTCGCTCTCTGGGAACAGATCCAGTTTGGTTTTGAATGAGCTGAAAAATGTTAGCTGTGATTAAATGCAGAGCATCAAAAATGATCCCCAAATGGTGGATATACAGGTATCACTTCCTGAACTGTTGTGTATGAATGAAATATTTCATAAAATTTTAATAAATAAATAAGAAAATTAGGGAACAGAGAAAACCAAGAACTTTCTATCAAGTATTCTGAATTCAGGAAAAGAAATTAAATTTTTAAAAGGAGTTTTCTTAGCAGACAAGAGACCAGGAGTCTAGGTTCCCGGGGTGCCAGCTGTGGGGCGTGGGCACGTTGTCTAAATTCTCTGGGCTCGACTGCTTCATCTGAAAAATGGAGGGATATCTTCCAAGAGGTTGGCGCAGTGGATCCCTGAAGTCCTCTCCAACTTCAGGAGAAAGGATTCTAGGAGTCAGAAACTAACAATTATGTCACTAAGACAATTCTAGAAAATAGAGAATAAACAGAGAAGAAGATAAATGTAGGAAAGTCCCCATGGAAGACCAGAAGAAAGCCAGAGAAAGGAAGAGAGAAAACTCAGTGGCCAACAAATCTGCCTTCTCTGTCACTGGGGCTCCCTCCTCTTCTCTTCCCATTCTTCCTCCTGCTCTTCTCATCGTCTCCTCTTTCTCCTTCACATTCTGCTGTCTCATTCACTGGTCTCTAGTAGCTAGGCTTGCCTCCCCCTCAGGAGGGTCTCATTTGACAAGGAAACTGGGAAAGACTGTCCCTCAGCCGTGGAAGGCAGAGCAGAAGCCAGAAAGTCCAAATTTAGTCCTGCTGACCCCCTAGACTGGAGTCATGATGAACAGAGGCACTAATGAGCTCATTCTTCGTCCTTTGGTAGTCTTTCAAGATAAGTTTGGATTTTATTTGAAACAGAGAAACTCAGGGTCGGAAAGGACCATAGGGTCATATGGTCCAGTTCTAGTCCAGCCTACAGATCTACAACATCTTGACGAAGTACATCGTCTCCCAGTCTACAGATGGGGCTCACGACCTCCTGCAACACCCGACTCCATTTTCTCTCCGTCCCAATTGCTGGAAGGTTCTTTTTTAACATTGAGCAAAAAACGCCTCCCTGTGACTTCTACCCTCTTGGCCACTAGTGTTTACTAATGAAGTTCAAGGTCACGTTTCAGATGACTCAGTTACTTTCCTCATTCATACATTGCAATAAAGGTCTCATGGGCTGTAGACCCAAAGACCAAAGAGATAGTGAAGAAATCTGCCCTGTTGCTTCTGCAGAGTGTTAGTGACTGTTACCTGGAGAAAATACATCCAATTGGAAGATTTGGCAGCTGGGAGTGGGAAGAGGGGACACAGCTGAGGTCAGTCAAGTAAATGACATTCTTAGTCTTGGACTCTGGTAATTGTGAAAGGTAAGAAACATTCTCCCTGGTGCCTTGTCTCCAGAGAGGGAGAGAAAGACCTCTGATGGTATGAACTCACCCGCAAGGAAAGGTTGTCCGAGAAGCAGGTATGGCTGTCCCAAGGCAAAACAAGGAGCATTTCCTTCCCTCCTCTGTGCCCTTAGCACACTCTGACTTTGCTTTTAGCACTTACCGCATTTTGCCACGAACATTCCTTATTTGGGCATGAGTTCCTTTCTCGCAATAGATTGTAAAGTCCTTGGGAGGGAGGAGCCATGTCTTATTCATCTTTATAAATAAATGTTTGTGGGATTTTAATTTTTTCCAAAGACAGCAAAATTTTGCGTTGAAATTAGCAATATGATGTCTAAGGAGTGTAAAAATAGTCTGTTTCTTTCCATGCTGACTTTTAGTAGAGATAATATTTAAAGCTTTTGCCACTCCTGAATAATAATAATAGTTGTGATTACTCAGTTGTTCATTTGTTCAGCAAATATTTATGATTCATTACCAGCTTACACTGCTGGTACACTTAGTACCAGTGGGATTTCATATCTCCCAGCCCCAGCACAGCCTCTTGCCATCCAGGCGTCGGGCTGGACGTGGAAGTGTCAGATGAGTGCTGAAGACCCAGGCAGGAGACTGGAGACAGCAGGGGCTCCCCAGATGGGAGCAATGACCAGTGCAATACAGGGCTCCCACACCTGAGAGACTAGCTTTATAAAGATGGGATCATGCAGGAGATATACTTACAAGGTGAAGAATTTTTATTTTCATTTAAAAAGCAGAGCGGGACACAGGCTCTTCTTTCGCTACAATTCAAGTAGTTCTGTCCTGGGATGTTGTATCTATAATGAAATTCTAAAAAGAAAAGATTAAAAATACAACAAATTGCCCAGGAACAACAGCTGTCCCCACTGGTGCCTTCTTTCTGAGGCTCCCCAGTCGCCTTCACCTTTAGCTGGTTCTTTACCGCAGACTTTTCTGGAGTTACGAGTCTTAGAGCCGCAGTCCTCACGTTTGTTATTCTGCAGTCCAGTGCCCAAAGTAGAATAGCAGGAATAGCAGCTGTGTACCGTATCATAACCTGAAAGAGCCCAAGTTTCACAGAGGAAGTGTGAATTTCTTGATTGTAGGCATAAAATCTGGTGTGGAGAGTAGAGCTCCAACTGTGCGAGGTAAGCATTAGGCCCCAGTGTGTTCGCTTTCCCCGGCCGTGTTACCAAGGGGAGTTGCCAGCCTAGGGGAGACATTTGGGATCCCCTTCTGACAACTGAGAGATGTTTTGATGAGTAACAGTCTGACAGGAAAGTCTCAAGATTTGCCTAGAGCATGTGGGTGCTTAGCAAACGTCTGCTGAATGGATGGATCCGTAGGAATTTGGCCCTCTGAATTATCAGACAATCTTGCAATTGGGGTTATTTTTCCAATTTGCCCTGCTACATCCATATTCTCTTCTCAGACCCTGCTGGGGCTAAGAGCTTGTGTGTTGTCATCCAGGCAACTGGAAAGATGGTTTTCCTCCACATCGAATTCATAAGCCCATGTGGGAACCTGAGTCAGAGCTTTACCCTCATCAGTGCCACGGAAAAGCTAATAGTAGAGGGCAGGTGGGTCTGGTGCAGGTCTAGAACTCGTTAGGCAGGCTGTGGGCAGTGGAGCTCACCAGGTAAGGCCAGAGCATGGAAGCCTGGGTCAGGCAGGTGAGTATGTCAGGTTTGGGTGTCCAAGCAACGTGTCAGCTCCAGGAGAGATGAAGCCAGGGGACAAATCCTCTGCCAGTACCACCTGCCCTGCTGCACTCATGATACACTCGTTTGTGACGTTATCTTTCAAAGTGGAAGTCACAAATGGAATGAGCTCTAGGAAAGTTTTTTCTTTCCCAAATCTCAGTCAATAGTCATTGAATGCCTTCTCGATCTAGAACTCAAGGAAATTATAAATAGAGGACGGGGGCCTACCCTGCGAAGGTTGTGTTGTACAGTGGAAAGAGCATGAGGTTCAGAAGCCTGGCCCTGCCACTTATTAGCTGTGATGGTTAAAAATGTGTCCACAAATTGACATGTTCTTCAAAAGGTAGAACCATTTCCTCCCTCCTTGAATGTAGGCTGGATTTAGTGACTTGCTTCTAACAAATAGATAAAGTGGTAGTGAGGGTGTATAACTTCCAAAACTAGGTCATAAAAGACAGTGATGCTCCCATCTTGGTCTTTCTCTTGGATCATTTGCTCTGGGGGAAGCTGGCTGCCATGTTGTAATGACTCTCAAGCAGCCTATTGGAGAGGCCCACATGGCAACAAACTGAGACCAGCCAAAGGCCACAGGAGTGACCCATCTTGGAAGCAGATTCTCCAGGCCCAGTCAAGCCTTCAGATGATGGCAGTATTGGCCAACATCTTGACTGCAGCCTCAGGAGAGACCTTGAGCCTGAACCACCCAGCTAAGCTGCTCCTGAATTCCTGACCCACAGAAACTATGAGATAGCGATGTTTGTTGTGTTGAGCCATTAAGTTTGGAGTTACTCCATTAAGCAGCAATAGAAAATATACCAGCTCTTTGACCCTGGCAGGTCATTTAATTTCTCAGAGCCTCCATTTCCTTATCTATAAAATAATGATTCCTACCTTACAGGGGTGTGATAGTTAAGTGATATGCCCTATGTCAACAGTTCTCAAACTTGATTTCAGAACACTTTCATATTCTTAAAATTGAGAACCCCAACGAGCTTTTGCTTATTATAGTTTCTGTCTACCATATATCATTAATATTTGCCATCCTTTATGCCTGTGGCAAAAATCTCCCCCTGCATTGGAGAAGAGCTGTCATCCAGCATTCGGTCAGCTGAGGACGGACTGGTCGAGACGTATCTAGGTATAAGTTTCATGTCATTTTTGCTGTGCAGAGTCCTTCAGATCTTCTTAAGACTGAAAGGTCAGTGCTGAGGCTTTTTTTTTTTTTTAGAATTTTAAACTGAGGCATTTAAAGAATAATTTATTTGTTATGTCATTTAAAAACAACAATAATCCATTTCATGTTCACAAAGCCACATTTTTTGTAATGAAAAATAGCTATGTTTGAAAATAAAAAAATGTAACGAGAAGAGTGGCAGTGTTTTATGTTTTGGCAAGAATCTTGAATATCTGGCTTCATAGAGGCAGCTGGATTCCACAGCTGCATCTCCATCCCATCCGTTGCAATATTGGCCTTGCACAGATATGTGGCTGGAAAGGAGAGGACTTCATGGCCCCCCTGAAAGGGTGACAGGGGCCCTCTGACCACACTTTGAAAATCTCTGTTCTGTTAACAGCATCTGTAGTAAGTGTTCAATTGATGAAACCTATTATTGTTGTTATTATTAGAAAATGTATCATGTACAGAGCAGAAATGGAACTAAACACGACCTCACAGAAAGATACAGAGTTGGAGGAAAGGCTCTCGGCTAACAGGCCGCATGAACTGAAGCAACCCCTGTTAGCTCTCTGGCCCCTGGTGTCCTCAGGTATAACCTGGGTAAATTGGGCCCGGGCGGCGAGCTGCATGCTCAGGCCTGAGCAGGCAGGCCTCGGCCCCGCCTCTTCCTCACCCAGGGCAGTTCTGCCAGGAGATGTTTTTCTGCTTAAACTGTCTTTGGAGAAAGGCTCCTATGACTCAAAGTCATCGAATTCTGTGTGCTTGTGCTCCTCCAAGCTCTAAGGCTCTTTGCTTCTCTGAAAGATGTGTGGACCAGTCAGCAGCAGCTCTGCCGGGTGGGTAAGCTGACCAGATGCCGGATTATGGGTCATGCTGGACAGATGACGACACGCAGACCTGAGGCCACCTAATGACTGAGTCCGTGGAATCCTGCGATTCCACCCAGAAGCAGATGTTGGCACTTTCACCCTACTTGACCACATCTTATTTAAATCGATTCAATTATTCATTCTTTACATTGTGCAAAAAAAAATACAACATTCAACACTGTAGTCTAGGGCAATACCATTTGGACTGGCAGATGGCAAGCTGGCGTCCACCATGAGCAGACCCCACGGAGAGGGACCTCGAAGACTGAGCACCCATAGCGCCAGGGTCCACAACTTACAGAGAATGGAATCTGCGGGCCGTGCCTTGTCTTGAATGGCATTGGGAAACCTTCCACAGTTGATTCTTCTGTGGCCTTCTTTCTCCATTTTTTGCTTCCTAAAAAAAAGGTGCATAAGATTAGTATACTTCTAATAGAGATAGAGTGTTGGTAAAACTGAAAAATGTTAATTACTATATCAGAGCCTGGAACAACGTAGGAGTGGCATGTCATCCTCGACACAGAGATCCCCTCTTCCTGCCTGTTTGAGAGCTTCCCTATGTGTGTATCCAGCACAGTTTGGCCTGATAAGAATGTACACACCAAGCGTTCAAAATAAACCTCTTTTGGGGCCAGCCTGGTATCATAGCGGTTAAGTTCGCGTACACCGCTTTGGCGGCCTGAGTTTCGCTAGTTCAGATCCCAGGCACCGACCTATACACTGCTTATCAAGCCATGCCGTGGCAGGTGTCCAACATATAAAATAGAGGAAGATGGGCGTGGATGTTAGCTCAGGGACAATCTTCCTCAGAAAAAAAAGGTAAATCTGTTTTGTTCCCCAGAGGATAATATCTAATCATCATATACCCATACACAATATAGATATCTGATGTATGGGATTATAAAATTTGGAGTTTTCTTCATATTCATGTCTCAAAATCAATTATGGGGGAAGAAGCTGCAATATGTGTCAATACCGGGTCACGTGGCTTTGGCTTTATAAGTACCAGCTGAATGTATCCAGAAGGTCCAGCAAGGTGGATTTTGTCCAGTGTCTATGGGGCTAAAGGCTATGTGAGCATGTGGGCTTAATTTTAGCTGTACAAGGCCACCAGGGGGCATCAGAAAGATGTCCTACAGTTGTCATCTACCAGAACACCTCCTCTGACCTGTCTATAGCTTCAGCCTCCCTCCACAGAAATCCTAACTCCTCCAGAAGAATTCTAATTAGTAACAATTCTGAAAGCTCTTGCTCAGCCCCTGGGAGACAGTAACAGACCCTGGGGAAAGTTGCTCATTTCTACTGTGGAGGGCACCGTGCCCCAGAGATCCTGGACCAAGCGGGGAGGCAGCACCGAGACTGATTCCCGGGAATGGGGCAGGAGGCTGGGGTGCTGCTTGGCAGACATGTGCGCGCCTGCCTGTGCCCAGGCCTGCCGCGGGGATGGAGGTGCCGTGCTTGGAGTGTGTGGGCTTGGGGGCCCAAGAAGCCAGGTCCTTTCCCTTCTTTAGAAAAACATGCTCTCCTCCTGAGTCACAGATTTTCTCACACTTCCTTTTCTGTCTCCACCCTCCTCCTCCAGGGCATTTGAACATCTGCTCTCCAAAGTGGAAAACTTGGATTTCAGTCAAGTGAATTCAGCCCAACACATGACTTTCCTTTTCTGCATCTTTTAAACTTCTTTGTGCACTAAAATCTTCTTGCCAAACATAACTGCTAAGGGCAATTCTAATGGAGAAGATGGTTTTTCAACAAGACCAAGTAGCTAAAGTGTACTCCTAAATCCTAAATTCTGCATCAGCAATAACACAAAGGGATAAGCATTTTGCATGTGGCATATATGTTACTTGTCTGCATTTATATGGCACTTTGCAAATATCCCACAAACAGTGTGTACATCAGCAAGCTCCATAAAGAACCGGTCCCATTGGAAAGATGTCTAATCTTCTAAAAGAGTGAAGAGTGGAAAGCCCTCCTTTCAAGTAATTCCTCAGCAATTATGCAGTTCGCCAACGCCCCAATTCGTAAATCATGGCCACCTCCTCTCCCTCCCCAGCAGCAGATTCACTGTTGGATCTGATTTTACACTGGTTGTGCTGTTCTTTCCATCTTGTTCATCATAAAAGAGTAAATTTAGTCTGGAACATTGGTCCCTGTCCTGGTACTTAAGTGGTTCTGTAGCATCTAGACCAGGAATTTAGAAGAGAAACATTTTGTACCTTAAATGTTTAATCAAAATGTTTTTTAGATGTCAAACTACTTTTACTATCCTTTAAAAACCTAAAAAAAAAAAAAAAAAAGACCCCAAAATCTAGATTTTAATACAATTAATAAAAATAGTTGGCCTGGGATGACTCTGGGTGAGCATACTTAGTGCCCCTGTGTTTAAAGGAGAGTCAAAGCTAATGATTGACGTCATGCTGGGTTAAGGTAATGGTCCACTCCAGATGGCACATGGTAATTTTTAGCACAAACACCATGCTGTTCCCTTTTTTCAGGGGCGGAAAATCAATGGAACATTTATGACAAGTGCCCGTTCCTGTGGTGGAATGCTTTCCACCAGGAAGCTTCAGTCTTTCAGACTTTGTCATCTGCTTCTACTAGAACCCATTAAGTACATGTAATTGTGGTTGCTAAACAGCTCCTCCCTCCTTGACTGTTGACCTTCGAAAGGTAAATTAGCCAAGCTCTGGCCCGAGTCCACAGCGCCGCCTGCGCTTGGAGGTGGCGCCTCTCATTAACTCACCGAAGCTTCAAATAAGTGACCCTGAATCCACATGAGCTAACAGTTGATCCAAAGAGCGTTTCAAAACCATTAAGGATTTCGCCTGAGGATTTTACATCTGCAGGTTTTTACACAATTTACAGCTTGTTACTTCTGGAAGATTTTTTGCTGGGGACAGGGGAGAAGTAAGCCCTGAGATGCGAGATTAGGCTTATTTCTGGTGGGACCGGGGTGGGGGGGAGGGGCAGAGATGGGATCCAACAGGGTAGATATTTACTCATCGTGAGGAGAGTGCAGTGACTATGGGAGCTGGTGCACAATGGTGTTTGTCTAAAAATCTCCTGTCTGGGCAATGTTCAAACAGAGCCTACAGGACAAACCACCCTCCCTGTACTGTAGCTCGGTCCTTACCCAAGGGGTTACTGAAGTCACCTGGGGAGATTTGAAAGACATATTCCTACCAGGGCGCCACCTCTGGCGAGGCTGATACAGCAGGTGGGGCTGAGGCCCGTGCTTTGTTTAAAAATCTCCCTGGTGACTTTGATGTTCTCCCCAGTTGAGAACCACCGCCAGAGGGATTTGTCATTCAGAAGGGAGGGCGGGCTATGCATCCAGCTCTGAGATCTGGAATTCTATAACTCAGCCAGTGGCTTCTGGCACCCCTTCAGTTAGTTGACGCCCACTCTCCCACCCATCCTGGGAATTTAGCAGCAAGAAGCCCTCACCATTCAAGGACCCGGAGGCAGAAGGCACAGCTTGGACTGGTTCTCTCTGCACGTTCCTGCCCTCCTGAGGCGGTGCCGGGGTCCTCCTGCGCCACAAAGCACACACAGATGTGGATGTGCCCGAGGAAGTGACTCATCGCTTGGCGGCCCATGCACAGCCCGGCAAGCAGCTCAGACTCGGCCGAGCGCACCATTTCAGGACTCTGTTCTGGTTCTGATTTCTCGCTCCGTGGGGTCTGTGCTGTCATGGCTGGGGCTCAGAGCAAGAAAGCGTCAACACTGGCTTGCCTGCCTTCTTTCTCCAAACATTTAAAAATCTCATTTACAGATGAGGGAATACTTTCCCCCTTTTTTCCTTTCCTTTTGTTTCAAATTACCCCAAGCTGTACCAGAGGATGAATAGATTTAAGAAGATAATTTTAAAATCTATTAATCTGACCGCTGATTATTAGAGCTCTAAAAGCTTTTCCAAAGAAATGTATTCAACTATGAATTAAAACAAGCTTATGGGACTATCTGGAGGGCTAAACTCTTGTTTCTATGTCCCCTTTTAGCACAAATAAGTTACACTGCTGAACTGAAAGGGATGACACCCCCCAGCCTGTATTTTTTACTCTGGTTTTACCCTTTTATGTAAACAGAAAATAGGCGTACTTCTCTCACCATTATGAGCAGGGCCGCATAAGCACCATGGTCCAAAGAGTTTTCTCCACATTTTGAATTACTTCCTCGGGAAACGTCTGGGTCAAAGGTTGCGAACATGTTTGTGTGATGATGCATATTGCCAAAATGCTTTCCACAAAAGTGGTACAAGTTACACAGCCCCCAACAATGTGGGCAGCTTGGTTTGACCACACCTTCCTCTGCACAGGAATTGTCACTTAAAAATGTTTTTGTTAACTTAAAAAGGCGGTGTGGCACCTTGTGTTAATTACCATTTCTTCTCTTATTAAAGGGGAGAAACATTTTCCCATATGCTTCTTTATTGATTGTGTTTCCTATTTGTGACTTCTAGTTCATAAACTTTGTCCATTATTTTTTTTGGAGGGTTTCAGGGTTTACTTTTTAATAAAAACAGCCATTTGTTGATTGCTTGTGTGCCAGGTGCTTCTCATGTAGCCTCCTTTGTTCCTTCCCACCTTCCTGGCACGTTGTCCCCATTTTAATGATGAATAATCTGAGGCTTAGAGAACTGAAGCAACTTGGCAAAGCCACAAGGGAGTCAGGGGCAGAGCTGGGATCCGAAACTCTGCCTGCCTGTAAGTAAGCCGGCCTTCTTAACCACCGTTCCGCTGCTCCTTCGTGCACTTGTCAGAGCAGTTGGTACCATAAAAATCTCAACACTGAACACAGTATTTGCTCTTAATACTTTCCAAGTTGTCTGCCTTTATTTTTTTAAAAAGATTGTGGTTTCAATTTTGCAAACACTGGTTACCATGTTGTTGCTGTCAAAGAGGTGGTGGCAAGAAACATATCGAAATGGGTTACATTTCACAAATAGTAAAAAAAATACAGATTAAAACAGTGAGATACCAGTTTTCACTTATCATTTTAGCAACAGTTGGAAAGAAAAAGAAAACATATGCCCTGGGGGATGGGGGAGGCCAGGTTGGAAATACCTCCATGACCATGCACACAGCTGCAGGCCTGTGAACGGGCACCGCCTTGCTAATGGCCAGTTTATCAGAATTTTCACTGCTCACTTTTGAAACATTAACTGCACTCCTAGGTTTTTATTCTAAGGAAATAATCAACTAAGACTAAAACTTTGCATGTAAAATGATGTGCTGAAGCAGTGTTTATAATATCAAAGAACTGGGAAAAACTAAATGTCCATCCATAAGGGATTGGTTAAATGAATCAGGGTACACCCATACACTGAAATAAATGCAGTCGTTACAAATGAAGCTGTAGGTTTATCCGGAGTGACTGTTGAGATGCCCACAATATAACGTTAAATAAAAAGGACATCACAAAACAATACATATAGTATGATCCCATTTTTGCAAAAATGGGTATGTGTATGCAGAGAAAAAAAGACTGGACAGTATACACCAAAATATTAGCAATGATTTTTCTCTCAGTGAAATGTTCTTTATACTTTTCTCTATTTTCTGAATTTTTTTTGCAATAAGCATATATTATAATTTTAAAAATAAAGGTTTTTTTCCCCCATCTTCCCCCTGTGTTCTCGTCTATGTCTCCCAGGCCTACAGGGCTGCCTCTGCACTTTGCATTTAAGGCAGGTTTAATGAGCAGACTGTAGGGAGCTGCCCTCTGCCTGAGCTGTGACCTGGGATCCCCTGCCATCTGCCCTGGGCCAATCTCCCCTTTCTAAGCTTCCAACTCTCCTTCTGCAGAAAGTCTTCGCAAAGTGTAAAGCTCTGAACCAACAGAATTATTATTGTTTACTGCTCCTTATAATTTTGTCATTATCATTTTAGACCCAGGAGTTTTTAATCCCGGTATTTCCAATTCATTCAGAATGAAATAATCTCAAAGCGTGGTCCCCAGAGCAGCCCGCGTTTCAGTAAGATGTGCAGATGGTTCCCCGGCCCACTCCGGTTGGAGAAGCCTAGTCTAGAACAGGCACCTTGGGCAAGTCCCTCCTGAGTGCTGAGAGTGGGGAATGTCAGCGATACTGGCTGCTGCCGCCAGCACTAACATCCAGGGTGCCAATTAGTCTAAGAGCTAGTGATCTCAATCATGCCCGTTTCAGAGTCACATCCAGCAATGCTGGTTACGGTTCAAGAGCCAATGGAATGAACTGAACGGAGCCAGACCTCGTCTGCTGGACGTAACCTTGGAATCAGAAGACGACCTCCTGGCCATTTGATCTGGTTGGTCTGGTTAAAAAAAGTTTGAATTTTAGAATCAGTTCTTAAGTTACCGGGAGCCCCACTTTTGGGGATTATTTGGCTTTTTAAAAATCTGGTGAAGAGTCGTCAGGAATTTAATTTCAGCATTCCTGGGATGGTGGGAAGGAACAACCTGAGGAAGAGAGTAGTGGGGACCCCAAAGGACGGCCGGAGTGCTCCTCCGGAATCTGGGGAGCCGCACAGAGGGACTTGCTGTTGGGGCTGCGATCCCACGGGAGGTGACTCAAAATCAGTGGAGCGTCCCTACACACCCCTAAGGCACCAGCAATCCTGCTGGAGTCCCTTTTCCCCAGACTCTTCACCACCTGCCTCCTTCTCATCCCCCAGTACGTACCCAGTTCAAATCCCACCTCTGGAAAACCCTCGCAACCACCTTTCTCTAGTGGCCCTACCCTCCCACAGTGAGTTACTCTTGGTCATATCCCATCACTGAATAGTCATGGACAGCTAACACACAGGTAACGTGCTTTCTATGAGCCGGGCCCTGTTTTAAGTACTTTACCTATATCAACTCCTTTCAACATCATAACAGTTTCTAACAAGCTCCCAGGTGATGCCATGCTGCCACTCTGTTGACCACACTTTGCAATTATTTCATTATGAGTGAATTGGAAATATTGAGATTAAAAACTCCTGGGTCTAGAACGAGAATGACAAAATTAAAATAAGCAAATAATTCTGTTGGTTCAGAATTTTACAGTTTGTAAAGACTTTTTGCAGAAGAGGAGTTGGAATTTAGGCAGGTAATATTATCCTCATTTTACAGAGGAGGAAACTAAGGCACAGAGGTTACATAACTTTCCCAAGGTCACAAAGCCAATAAGTGACAGAGCCAGTATTTGGACACAGGTGGTCTGACTTCAGAGTCATAAGGAATGTAGTCTTAGTTCTTGCATAGCGCTGTTAACATTCTGTAATTTTCTTTGTTCATTGTCTGTGTCCCTGGCAGAAATGCCAGCATCTTGAGGGTGGTGATCTGTCTGCATCACTTATTTTGAATCCGCAATACCTAGACAAGTGCCTAGCATTTAGCAATAAATATTTGCTGAATGAATGAATAACACTAGCAGTAGACTCTCTTTTCAGGGCTACTTATCACAAAATTATAGAGTTCTCATTATTTCACAATAGTTGCTGCAAACTTGGGACCAATTAAAGAACAAACCCAGACCTGAGGGAGCTGCTGGGCAGAAGGCCGGGCTGACTCACTAGGCTCCCCACACCACCGTGAAGAGTGTTCAGGTTCTCGAGGGGTGACATGCTGCCAACCTCGGAGACTGCTTGTGAAGCGTTGAAATCATTTGTTAAATCAACAGTGGCTCAGAGTTTACTCTGCTGAGCGTTCCCTCTATACGAGGCCTTCCGTCAGATATTTGGGATACAAAGATGGGTGTGAAGGCATGAGGACAGATGAGACACAGTGCTGAGGGGAAACAGAGGCCAGAGCAAAGAATTCTGCCTGGGGTGGGGGCTGCATGTCAAGTTCATAGAAATGGCCTAACTCTGAAGCTGGGCCTTGAATGAATGCGATTTTGCTGGGCCAGTGAGTGTTTTGAGGAGGCAAACACACTTCTTTGGAAGGCTGACAGTTATGTAATCTTTACCATCTTGTCTTTAACTCTGACAAAAAAAAAATTCAAGTTTTGAATATCAGCGGTAGGCTGAGTCTTCAAATACTGTCTGAAACAAAAGAGTCAATTTAAGGCAATTATCCAGATGATTAAATTTCTCAGAATTTTAATTTAGTCTGAAATGTTCTGATAGTTGAGGCCACAGAAAAAAGTGTAGAAAGACAAGGTGATTGATTTGAATTCCTAATCTGGCATGTGTAGACAATTGGAAAGAGTTAACTTGAGAGAAAGAAGATGCAGAAGTGGGCTCATGGGAAATAGTTCTTTCTCTGAGCGTGTTACTTTTATTTAGAAGAGGGAGTACAAAACTATTAAGAAGATTGATTTCTTCCGGCACCATCCGCAAAAACGTCACCATTCATCCAGAAGAAATCGCTCTTCAGCGGTCCATCAGTTTAAACTGCGTTGTTAGTCCTAAACTAATGAGCTATTTCAAAAACCAACAGTTGAAATAGCTTCTAATTTTTAAAAACTGGTTCCATTTTAAATAATATGATTCATAGGACTCTGGAAGTTAAATTTTCATGAAATATTAAAATAGGCTTCAGGGATTCCATGAATTAGGATTCTATAAAGGCATAAAACCCATTTTTCCTGGCGTGAAATCAGGCTGTAGCTTGCTGTATTACCTCATTTAAAGATGGAGAGGATGTGGATGCCAACTCATCCAGGATGATTGGAGAGCTCACAGGAAGAGAGAGAGCTGAAGTGCATTTGCCTTTATCAATTTTCTCTTTAACATCTTCAAGTAGCATCTCCAACTTGAAGATTTCACCTTCCACTTTTCTAAGAAAACATAAAGAGACAGGCATCTGATAGGGCACGCAGTAAACAGTCTAATTAGTAACAACAGTTCTTGAATGTAGCATTGATCCATATTATTAATGTGGTCTGTCTTCAAACAGGAAGGATAATGGACACTTGCCCTGACAGGCATCCTGTTTATAGTTTCACTCCAAAGCCCTGGGCTCTAATCCTCATTTTGTTATTCATTAGCTGTGTGTCCTTGGGTAAATCAGTAAATCTTTCTGTGCCTCCAATGTCTCAACTATAATATAGGAAAACAATATTTTGCTTATCTGGATCTGATTATTTTGAGGTCCTTTATAGTTCTAAGAGCTATGATTCTATGCAAATAATTTTTTATATCAATTGAAAAAGAGGAATGCCATGAAGTATCTGAATAATTTAATTAATGAGCTTGATCTATTTTTGTTAGTGCCTTCAAGTCAATTTAGACTCCTAGAGACCCTGTGGATAGCAGAGTGAAACCCTGACTGGTCTTTCTGAGCCATCCTCTCACCTTCTGTTCCTATATTAGACAATGCTCCAATACTATTCATAGGGTTTGCATGGCCACCTTTTTCAGAAGTGAGTGGCCAGGTCCTTCTTCCTAGTCTGTCTTAGTCTGGAAACTCTGCTGAAACCTGTCCACCATGGGTGACCCTGCTAGTATTTGAATACAAGTGGTGTAGCTTTCAGTATCACAGCAACACGCAGCTGCCACAGTATGACAACCCACGGATGGGGCATGTGGTTCCCTAACAAGGAAATGAACCTGGGCTGCAGTGGTGAGAGCAGTGAATCTTAACCACTAGGCCACCAGGACTGGCTAGCTTGATGTATAGGTATATGTACATATATGTACATGTGTATATAAATACATATTTTACACAAAAAAGATAATCCATTTTCTTTGAATGCATTATGATTACAAAAATTTACATGTATTAACTGGTAAAAGAAAAATTTCAACAAATTCCAAAACATTAAAAATTATACTACTGCATTCCCACTAAGATCAAGAACAAGGCAAGGATCGAGGCAAGGATGTCCCTTCTCACCACTCCTTTTCAACATTGCACTGGAAGTCCTAGCTAATGCAATATGACAAGAAAAGGAAATTAAATGTATACAGATTGGAAAGAAATAAAACTATCTTTGTTCATTGATGATGTGATCATCTGTAGAAAATCCAAAAGAATCAACTGGAAAAAAAAAACCTCCTGGAACTAATAAGTAATTATAGCGAGGTTGTAGGATACACAGTTAATATACAAAAGTCAGTTGCTTTCCTACATACCAGCAATGAACAAGTGGAATTTGAAATTTAAAACACAATACCACTTACATTAGGATCCAAAAAAATGAAATATTTAGGTATAAATCTAATTAAATATATACAAGATCTATATGAGGAAAACTACAAAACTCTGATGAATGAAATCAAAAAACTAAATAAATGGAGAGAGATCCCATGCATGGATAGGAAAACTCAATATTATCAAGATGTCAGTTCTTCTCAAATTGATCTATAGAGTCAATGCAATCCCAGTCAAAATCCCAGCAAGTTCTTTTGTGGATATTGACAAACTGATTCTAAAGTGTATATAGAGACACAAAAGATCCAGAATAGCCAACTCAATATTGAAAGGAAAGACAAAGTTGGAGGGCTGAGACTGCCCAATTTTAAGTCTTACCATAAAGCTACAGTAATCAGTGCAGAGTGGTATTGGTGAAAGACCAGACAAATAGATCAATGGAACAGAACAGAGAGCCCAGAAATAGACTCACATAAATACAGTCAACTGATCTTTGACAAAGGAGAAAAGGCAACACAATGAAGCAAAGATAATCTTTTCAACAAATGGTGCTGGAACAACTGGACATCCACATGCAAAAAAATGAATCTATACACAGAATCTATACACTCTTCACAAAAATTAACTCAAAATCGATCATACACCTAATGTGAAATGCAAAACTATAAAACTCCTAGAAGAGAACATAGGAAAATACCTAGATGACCTTGGGAATGGCAGTGATTTTTCAGATAGAACACCAAAAGCACCATTCATGAAATAAATAACTGGTAAGCTAGATTTCACTAAAATTAAAAACTTCTTTGCAAAAGATAATGTCAAGAGAATGAGAAGACAAGCCACAGACTGGGAGGAAATATGGGCAAAAGACACATCTGATAAAGGACTATTGTCCAAAATATACAAAGAACCTTAAAACTCAAAAATAAGAAAACAAATAACTCAATTAAAAAATGTGCTGCTAAAGACCTTAACAAACTCCTCACCAAAGAAGATATACAGATGGCAAGTAAGCATATGGAAAGATGCTTCCCATCGGTTGTCATCAGGGAAATGCAAATTAAAACAATAATGAGATACCACTATACACTAGTAGAATGGCCAAAATTCAGAACACTAACACCACCAAATACTGGTGAGGAAGCAGAGCAATAGGAATTCTCATGCATTGCTGGTGGGAATGCACAATGGTACACCACTTTGGAAGACAGTTTGGCAGTTTCTTTTAAAACTAAACATACTCTTACCATATGGTCCAGCAATCATGCACCTTGGTATTTACCCAAAGGAGGTGAAAACTTAGGTCCATACAAAAACCTGCATATGGGGTCTGGCCCAGTAGCATAGTGGTTAACTTCACGTGCTCAGCTTCAGTGGCCCAGGACTCACTGGTTTGGATCCCAGATGTGGACCTAGCACCACTTATCAAGCCATGCTGTGGCAGGCATCCCACATACAAAATAGAGGAAGATAGGCACAGATGTTAGCTCAGGGCCAATCTTCCTCAGCAAAAAGAGGAGGATTTGCATCAAATGTTAGCTCAGGGCCAATCATCCTCAAAAAATAAAATTTAAAAAAAATTTAAGAAAAACCCTGCATATGGATGTTTATAGCAGCTATATTCATTATCACCAAAACTTGGAAGCAACCAAGATGTCCTTCAGTAGATGAAAGGATAAATAAACTATAGCATATCCAGATAATGGAATGTTATTCAGCACTAAAAAGAAATGAACTATCAAGTCATGAAAAGACATGGAGGGAACTTAAATGCGTATTGTTAAGTGAAAGAAGCCAATATGAACAGGCTACATACATATTGTATGATTCCAACTATGTGACATTCTGGAAAAGGCAAAACTATGGCAACAATAAAAAGATCAGTGGTTGCTAGGGGTTGGTGCATAGGAAGGGATGAATAAGTAGAATACAGAGCATTTTTAGGGCAGAGAAAATTCTCTGTATGATACTATAAAGATGGATACATATTATACATTTGTCCAAACCCATAGAATTTACAGCAGGAAGAGTGAAACTTAATGTAAACTATGCAGTTTGGGTGACATGTCAATGTAGGTTCATCAGCTGTAACAAATGAAGCCTCTGGCGAGGGATGTGATAGTGGGGGAGGCTATGCATGTGTTGGGGCAGGGAGCATATGGGAAATCTCTGTATCTTCCTCTTAATTTTGCTGTGAACCTAAATTGCTCTTAAAACAGTCTTTGAAAAGTTATACCACTCACATTCTCTGATCATTAGAAATCAATAACAAAAAGATAGCAAAAAAAACTATCTAATTGGAATTTTTAACATTCATCTGAATAACTTTAGGGTTAAATAGAAAATAAAAACGGAGATTAGGGATAATTTACAAATGGATAGTAAATAAGAGAATGACATACGAAAACCAACATGATACAGCTACAGCAGTACTCTGAGGAAAATTCACAGTGTTAAAATGCATTATTAAGTGAAAATTCAAAAATCAATAAACTAAGTACCCAAAACAAGAAGGCATAAAAATAACAACAAAATAAACCTAAGAAAGGAAAAGATGCACAAAAGGAGAAATAAATTAAATTTAAAAGAATTTGATCAATAAAATAAAACATTCTGTTCAAAATATTTATAAAATAAACCACTGGAAAGTCTGACTGAGAAGCATAAATAACACTCAGAATGAGAAAGGAATTGTGCCATTTGTGACAACATGGATGGACCTTGAGAGAATTATGCTACGCAAAATAAGTCAGACAGAGAAAGACAAATGTTACATGCTTTCACTCATATGTGGAAGATAAACAAACACATAGATACAGAGAACAGATTAGTGATTACCACAGGGGAGGGGGGTTGGGGGAGTGTGAAAGGGGCAAAGGGACGCATATGTACAGTGGCAGATGGAAACTAGACATTCGGTGTGAACACAATGCAGTCCATACAGAAACCAAAATATAATGATGTACACCTGAAATTTATACTATGTTATAAACCAAGGTGATCTCAATAAAATAACTGAAAAAAAAAAAAGAGTGAGAAAGGAAAAATACCAGAAGAAAAATTTAAAATCAAATGGAATTGAACAACTTCATATCAACATAGTTTAAAATCTAGTGAAATGAATAAGTTACTAGGGAAATATAAATTATTAAGATCTACTCAAAAAGAGGTAGGAAATCTGAAAGGATTAATAACCAGAGAAAAATAGAAAAGATTATAAAAAATCTACCCCCCAAAAGGCAAGTGGGATTATGGGTGAGTACTACAAAGAGTTTAAGTAACTCTTCTGGGACATGAAAAAAAAAGGAAATTTCCCAACTCATTCTATAGTTAAAATTAGGATATTTATTAATGTACTTCACAACATTAATAGATTAAAGGAGATTAATAAACTAATAAAAATTAATAAAAATAGATTTCTGGGCCAGCCTGGTGGGGCAGCAGTGAAGTTTGCACATTCTGCTTCTCAGAGGCCCGGGGTTCACTGGTTGGGATCCCGGGTGCAGACATGGTACCACTTGGCAAAAGCCATGCTGCAGTAGGCGTCCCACATATAGAGTAGAGGAAGATGGACATGGATGTTAGCTCAGGGCCAGTCTTCCTCAGCAAAAAGAGGAGAATTGGCAGTAGTTAGTACAGGGCTAATCTTCCTAAAAAAAAAAAAAAAAAGATCTCTAAATCTCATTTAAACATTTTCTTAAATTAAAAAAAAACCAGGCCGGCCCTGTGGCCCAGTGGTTCAGTTCGCACGCTCCACTTCAGCAGCCCAGGGTTTCACTGGTTTGGATCCTGGGTGCAAACATGGCACCGCTCATCAGGCCATGCTGAGGTGGCATCCCACATAGCACAACCAGAAAGACCTACAATTAGAATATACAACTATGTACTGGGGAGCTTTGAGGAGAAGAAGGAGAAGAAAAAAGAAAGATTGGCAATGGCTGTTAGCTCAGGTGCCAATCTTTAAAAAGGAAACTAAAAAAAACAAAAACCCTAGTCCTAGTAAACTAGGAATAGAAGGAAACTTTCTTGATAAAGCTTACTTGAACCTACAGCAATCATCATACTTGGAAGAATTCCCAGTACCACTAGGGACATGACAAAAATTCTTGCTTTCATTAGTATTATTCAATATTGTTCTGGAAAACCTAGTAAATAAAATGAAGCAATACAAAGAAATGTGATATATAAGAACTGGAGGGAAGAAAAGATATAAAGAATAAATATTTAGGCAGAAAATGGGAGTGGGGAGAATGCACCATTATTTTCAGATGCTATGATTGTGGTACCTAAAAATTAAGATAATAAAGTGAAAATCAGCAAAACACTAAGAACAGAATTGCATAAGGTAGCCAGTACAAGTTAAATACACAATTTTGTTTATTTCCTGTTAATTGATCAGGGAAAAATCTATTAACCATACTCTGAAAAACTATAAAATAGCTAGGAGTAAATCTAACCAAAAAATGTGTGAAATCTACATGAAGAAAACACGCTCCTTGATGAGAATACTCATTACAAAGATTTTAACTCTTCCTGAACTAATCTGTAAATTCGACACAATCCTAAACAAAATTCGAATGGAATTTTATTAAGGAAACTTGGTGAACTCATTATAAAGTTTATTAGTAAGAAAAGTGTGTAAGAATAGCTAAAGAAAGTTTAAAAAAGAAGAAACGTTTCAAAATATACATTAAATTATAGTAATTTAAAACTGTGTGGTTAATGACATGATGGAAATATAGATCAATGGGATGGAATAGAACCAGTCCATCCACATGTGGAGGTTTTGTATATGATAAAAGTGGCTTTTTCAACCAATGGGGAAAGCCTGCCCTAGTCAATAAGTGGTGGGACAAAGACCTAAGCATGAAAAACCATACTGATAATCAAATAAAACACAGGGAAATATGTTCTAATCTAGCAGGCAGAAGAGAATTAAGCAGGGGACAAGGAGAGCCTGAAAATGGAAAGGAAGTGAAACGATGGAGCAAGGTAGAGTGAAGAGATGGGCTCAAGGACCACGCTTGGAAAGTGAGTAAAGGAAGAAAGAGGAGGTGAAGACATGCAGACTTGGGGATGGAGAAAGGACATTTCTGAGGGAATTTGTGATCTTTTTTGTAGAGCAGAAGACGAGATTATACGCTGATAATATCAGAAAGGGGGATTGATGGAGGTAGAGCCTCATTTCTTTTTTTTTTTTTTTAAGATTTTATTTTTTCCTTTTTCTCCCCAAAGCCCCCCGGTACATAGCTGTATATTCTTCGTTGTGGGTCCTTCTAGTTGTGGTATGTGAGATGCTACCTCAGCGTGGTCTGATGAGCAGTGCCATGTCCGCGCCCAGGATTCGAACCAACGAAACACTGGGCTGCCTGCAGCAGAGCGCGCGAACTTAACCACTCGGCCACGGGGCCAGCCCCTAGAGCCTCATTTCTTGACTCCTTGGCTTCTGGTGTTCGTGTGTGAAAGAATCAGATGACTAACAGACTACATTCTGACAAACAAGGTGCTTTAAATCCAAACGTATTTTTGCATATTACCTTTTAAAAGCAATAAAAGGTTTTAGTAAGAGCACAGTAGCTGACTTAAACAAGTGATTAGCCGATGAATTTGCAAGGTTCTTCTCCCCCTACAGAAAGCCATCCACAATGGCCTTTGGACTCAACACTTAGAAGGTTCTCAACAAGCCAAGCCCTCAAGGGCTGTATGGGGTTCTGCTCAGTGCCATGTTACGCCCAGCAAGAACAAGAGGACCAATCTCAAGCTCAGCAGTCTTTGCTTCTCTGAGGTGGCTTTAACTGAGTTTGGGGAGAGGCCAGGTTCTTCCCTTGCCCAAGTGTTGAAAGCTTCTCCTGTACTGGGATATAATTGCAGTTGAAACTCTTCTGATTTGTGCTGGGGCCAGGCACAGTGTGGGTGTAACCAGGGTGTAAATAAGGCATTGCATAACTTTGGTCTTCATGTGCACAGAGGCCTGTCTTTAAAACGATTGCCAAAACAAGTGGGATCCCTTAGAAAATAAATATCCTTACTCTATTAATTTTTAAACAAACAGTGAAAGCATGTGGAGATCTTTTCTTCCCAGAAAAAAAAATAAGCCCTTGTGGGAAGAAAATCAATATTAAAACCCCATCCTTGCTGTCTAATTACTCAGTGTTGAAATAACAGTAGACAGAGAGTTCATTCATTTTGAAAAAGTAAAATTGTACTTTGGGAAAAATACCTCAGGATGCTAGTGCCAAAATATAAACCATTAAAATATTTTGGCATCAAGCATGATTTTGTGTTAAAATGCTCTGAATAGAAAGAGTTGAACTTACAAATATTAAATCTACTAAATGGATGCTTTTAATTCATACCAGGAAATTATATGGAAACAATCCTAGCCTTGAGTCCTGGAATGCATGTTAAGATTATTTGGATTGGAGAGAGAGGAGCGTGGTGCCATAAAAATGGCTAGTTGGCAACTTCAATACGAAGGTGCACCCATTAGGTTTCTAATGTGAATTAACTCAGGAATCATTTGAGAGCCACTGGTCTAGCATCAGCAAAAACTCTGCCACCAATGAACAAGTGTCACCCTATGCAACAGGTACTATGGACTTCTTGTTATGTGTAAGGTCCTGTGTTGGGCACTGACCCAGACGGAGTGCCCCAAATGAACATTTTTCTTCTGGAGGAGAGATATTGTGCCACCATATTGCATTTTGTTGAATGTCATTATAATTGGTTCTGAGACCCAAAGGAGCACAAGAAAATGCTAGAAAGACTCACACACTAACCCTAGAGGGCCTTCTTTCCAAGTTCCTTCTGTCCTCTCCTTCTCCCCACTCCTGACTTTATTTCTTTTGCTTTCTCTTCTCTCTCTTTTTTCCCCTTTTTCCTTCCCATTAACAGACAATTCCAAAGGGGCAGTGGGTAAGAAAGGATCATTGTTAGATTGGCTAACGTTGGGGTGAGGGATCCACAAATCCCGATAAAATGAAAATGTTAAAGCTAAGCCAGCAGCCATATCAGAATCCCACCTAAAGGAAGTCACCTCTGATCCCTCCACCTCACACAATTTCAGCCTGACCTTTCTGGATCAAAGTCACCAACAGCTGGGGGTTCGTGCTTGTGGACTTGCTGCTTCAAACTCAGATGCTTCTCCTTCTTGGCCAGAAATTCCTGCTCCAGCAGTTCAAGACGTCCCTGCAGCTTCTCCAGGACCTGTAGCAGTGAAGTCACTGGAATCATTCACGTGTAAGCCTGTGTGTGTAGTTGTTTCTCCCAAAAACACAATGAGGGTGTGACCTACAGTAGTGTCAGAATGAAGCTGCCATCCTTCTCCCGGCAATTGTTTGGTTTCGGAGTCTGCCATCTAATGTACATACAACTAAGAGCCATCTCAGCATTTACAACACCCTCATAGCACAAAGCTGAGAAGTACAGTTCCTTCTGATTTCTCTCCCAGAACCCACTCAGAGGCCTCCGAACTTCCTTAATGGGACATTAACAATCCTACATATTAGCAGAATGATTTTTAGCTTATAGAGCACTTTCCAGTTTGTTATCTTATCTAATCCACACAACAATGTTGTAAATGTTGCAAAGTAGATTTCATTATCCCAGTTTTATAGAGGAGGAAATTGGAGCTCCAAGAAGCATACCTGAAGCCACAAGGATCTTAAAAAGAATGAAGTCAGGGGTTTGAGTTTGAGTTTGAGGTTTAGGTTTGAGTCTGTGGCACCTGGAGGGTGAGATGGGAAAGGAACAGCAGGAAGTTTAGCCAGAAGCTCCAAATGTGTCCTCCAGATGTCACCACGTACATCGTCGAGCAGACGAATGTTTAAACTGTGTAAGTCGGGTCTGGTCTTGATGTACAGAGGCTTCAGCACAGCTGGCCCAGTCACTAAACATTCCCTGAGCACTGCCTATGTTTGGCCCTGGGCCAAAAGTGTGAGAGATACAAAAGTTGTATCAGCCACAGTCCCTGGTCTCAGGGATTTTATTCCAGTTGGGAAAAGAGACCGTGGATTGGAGTACTTTGCCATGGCTCAGTGGAAGAAGTAAGACTTCAGTGAGGCTTGAAGTATGCTCAGGAGGGTCTGAACCAGGCAGCATCCATGGGAATGGAGAGGAAAGGATGAATTAGAAAGATACTGCCAAGGGCAGGAATATAGCATAGTGGGGTTACAGGATCGGACACACTAGAGTTCAAGTTCAGACTCTGTCACCTACTAACTGTATGATTTTAGTCAACTTGAACTCTAGGCTTCAGTTTTCTCATCTCAGATAATAAAAGTCCTTACCTTATATTGTGAAAATGAGAATGCTTAGTGCTGAGAGCATAGTACATACTTAATAGATGGTAGCTATCATCATCATTCTTATTAATTCTTATTATTATTTAAAATGAATAATCAAGTTTGGAAATATATTGGTTGTGAGGTATAAAAAGCGGCAAATGTGGTAGATGTTTTCCATTTTCCCCCCAGATCCATCCTCCATCTTTCTCTGTGTCCCAGCCTGGAGGCTGACCTTCAATGGGCTGCACCAACAGGCTCCCATTCCCCTGGCTTTGGTTGGTTTCAGACAATGGGAGGCAACAGCAAGAGAAAGGAATTGAAGAAGGATGAGGTAGGGGTCTTTATTTCCCTCATTTCCTCCTGTCTGTATCATCATAGATTGGCTGTGTCTCTCTGCCAAAAGCCACAGAGCTTGACAGCTTCTCCCACAGCTATAACTACTCTCCTTAGGCTCTAGTATCTGCTCTTCTTCTGTCCTTTCTGCCCCACTGTTCCTTCCATGAGATGTTCTCCATCCTTTATTTGTTTCCCTTATTAAGCTCTCCTCAATTACTCCAATGGAGTAAACCATCTAGTTCCTGTCAGGACACTGACCGATAACTGTAAATCTCACAGGTAATGCTCAGGTTTCTAAACTAGGAGGTGGAAGGATGTGAAACCCCTGACTAAAATGAGGAATTTGGAAAGGCTAACGAGTTTGAAGAAAGATGCCAATGTCGGATGAGATAGAATTTTCAGTAAGAGTGGGATATCCTCATTTACTAAAATAAACTCAAAATGGATCAAAGACCTAAAAATTAGGCCTGAAACAATATGTCTGCTAGAAGAGAATATCGGCAGCATACTCTTTGACATCAGCTTCAAAAGAATTTTTTCGGACACCATAACCCCTCACATGAGGCAAACAATAGAAAGAATAAACAAATGGGACTTCATCAGGCTAAAGAGCTTCTTCAAGGCAAGGGAAAACAGGATTGAAAGAAAAAAAAAAGCCCACTAATTGGGAAAAAATATTCACAAGTTATTTATCCGACAAAGGGTTAATCTCCATAATATACAAAGAACTCACACAACTCAACAATAAAAAATCAAATAACCCAATTACAAAATGGGCAGGGGACATGAACAGACATTTCTCCAAAGAAGATACACGGATGGCCAATAGACACATGAAAAGACGCTCATCATCACTAATCATCAGGGAAATGCAAATCAAAACTACACTAAGATATCACCTTACACCTGTTAGAATGGCAAAAATATCCAAAACCAAGAGTGACAAATGTTGGAGAGGCTGTGGAGAAAAGGGAACCCTCATACACTGTTGGTGGGAATGCAAACTGGTGCAGCCACTATGGAAAACAGTATGGAGATTCCTCAAAAAGTTAAGAATAGAAATACCTTATGACCCAGCCATCCCACTACTGGGTATATATCCTAAGAACCTGAAATCAGCAATTTCAGAAGCTCTATGCACCCCTATCTTCATTGCAGCATTATTCACAATAGCCAAGTCATGGAACCAACCTAAGTGCCCAGCAACTGATGATTGGATAAAGAAGTTGTGGTATATATATACAATGGAATACTACTCAACCATAAAAAAGGACAAAGTCGTCCCATTCACAACAACATGGATAGACCTTGAGAGTATTATGTTGAGTGAAATAAGCCAGACAGAGAAAGACGAACTCGGTATGACTCCACTTATAGGTGGTAGTTAACGTATGGACAAAGAGAACTGATCGGTGGTTGCCAGGGGAAAGGGGGGTGGGGGGAGGGCACTAGGGGTGAAGTGGTGTAACTACAACATGACTAATAATAATGTACAACTGTAATTTCACAAGGATGTTAACTTTTATAACCTTAATAAAAAAATAAATTTATAAATAAATAAATAAATAAATAAACATTGTTCACATATGCTTATCTACAAAATGTGAAACTAAGCTAAATCAAACAAATGGTTAGTGCAAAATAACTTAGCCTTATCAGAATTGGATAAATCTATTTGTACTAACTTTGAAAGATCTCCAAGGCAAATTGATGGGTGAAAGAAGCAAGATGTAGAGTAAGACATATATGTTGTATGTGTTATTATGGAAACATATATATAACACATATATGGAAATATAAGTGCATAGAAAATGTAATGGAGAAGTACTCCCAAACTATTAACCATGTTTCTGCGGTTATCTCAGAGGAAGAGATTAGAAATAGGGAGTTGGGGATAAAAGAGGGACTTTCTGGTTTACCCTGTATTTTTATTTATTTTTTTTTTTTTGCATTACATTAAATCTTTTACAAAAAAAAAAAAAAAAAGAGTGGGATATCCAAGTGAAGATACAAACATTTGGAGCTATAGATGAGAAGTTAGGACTAGTTAGGAATTGGTAGCGAAAATGGCAGTTAAAGCCATGAGAAGGAATTAGGTGTTCAAAGGAAAGAAGAAATCCAATTATGAACTATAATTTAGGATCTTGGAATTTAACTTGTGTTAAGTCTCAGAAGAAGATAGGGCAAGTTTTCTAGCCATAACTATACATCGTTTAATTCTCATAAAAACTCTGAGATGGGAGTCTAAGATTGTACAACCAACACATAAAACTAAGATTTCTGCTCCAAAATCCAAATGCTTTCTACTATGTGGTGCTGCTCATGCTGAGATGGTTAGGTTTAGCCCTGTCCAGCCTTCTTCCAACACTGAACCAAATGGGCCTGGACCTCTCAGACCAAGGCTGGCACTGTGAGGGGTCATCCTTACCCTCCTCTCAGTCCCAACACAAATCCCCACACACCCTCTAACATCAGGAAGTAACTTCCTGAATCAAGGCCTCTGGAGGCTCGTGCCTTGAACCAGTTCCGTCTGCTTTGCTCGGCCCTTTAAAATTCTGGGTTCTCCCAGTTCCCGAAAGCCTGGCTTTTTGGAGATCCCCTTTGTCATTCACCCCTTAACTTCCGTAATCTGGCTTCCATAGATTCACCACTTCATTGAAACCAGTCTTGCCAAGGTCCCCCATGACCTCTTGGTTGCCTTCCATCCAATGCACATCTTGCTTCCCTTCCTTACTCCAACAGCAGATGGTGCGGCCCCCTCCCCCTTCTTAAAAGCCTCTTTTTTCTTGGCTTCTACAGCTCTGCTCCTTCCAAGTCTGCCTTGAACTTTCAGGTCACTCGTCATCGGTCTCCTTTGTGGACCTCTTTTCCTTTACCTGCTCCTGGTTGCTGTTTCCCATGATCCTATCCTTGGATTTCTTCACTGCTTACTCTGCATGTTCGCCTAGGCAGTCTCATCCACCCCATAGCTTCAACCCACAACTATACCCAAATTTACATTTCTGACCCAAAAAACTCCTCTGAGATCCAGGTCCATTGCTCTAATTGCCTACCAGACCTCCAATTGGATGTCCCATAGGGACCTCAAAATGCCCCAAGCTGAACTTGACATCTTGCCTCCTGCCTGCCTCCCATACCCATTCTGAACTGGATCTTCCACTTTTATTCCTGACCTTGGTTGCTCACGCTAGAAATCTGGAAGTCAGCCAAGCCTCTTCCCTTCCTTTATTCACCCCTTTCAGTCTGCCACCACTTCCTTAAACCCTTAGATTTGTCCTCCTCTCCATCCTCATTGCCAGCCTTGTTTCAGGCCCTCATAACTTGTTGCCTGGGTTATGGCTTCCTAACCAGTCTCTGTGCCGACAGTCTTGCCCCCACGGTGCTCACCATTTCTCAACTTTAAATCCTCCATTGTTAGCACATCACTCAACCTCGGGATAAAATCTAAACTCTTCAGCACGGTGTAAAGGCCTTTCATGATGTAGTCCTCATCTACCTCCCCAGCCTTCTCCCTTCCTCTTCACCACATGTACCCTGAGCTCCACCTGGTCAATTACAGTGCCATATAGTTCCTCACACTATCAGCACCTTCTTGTGGGCAATTGCACCTGCTGATTCCTTTTCCTGGAGCATCCATATTCCCCCTATAATGCCCAGCTCATAAGTCACTTCCAGGAAGCCTTTTAAAGTGCCTTGCTCTAATGGGCAAGGGTGAGCCTCTTCTAGGCTGCCGTTAGTATCATCTGTAACAATTCTCAAGCTGAATTTGTCTGTTTACCAGTCTGTTGTTCCTGGGAGACTATAAACTGCTTGAAAAAGAAATAGTTTCTTCATCTCCAAATCCCTAGTGCCTGTTACAGAGTCTGGGACATAGGAAGTAACTGATAAGGCTTTGCTGAATGAATGAATGAGTTATTTAATTACTCTGATGAATGAACGAATGAGTAATGACCTGTATCTCTTAACACTCAGGTCCTCCTGGTTTTTGTCTATGCTGTCTGGTTTCTGAAGCATAGGCTGCCCTGAGCTTTGCTTGTGTCCTTTACGTCAGGATTTCTGACCCCCTGCCTTGTTGCTGACCCAATGGCCTAAACTACATCTTCAACTTCGCACATTTCTGGCTTTACCAGTCTCAGCTTTTTGCCCCATTGCCATGCTCCACCCCCACTTCCCACGATCCTGGCACTAATGAACACGGCTGTAATGGTTACAACATAAATAAGTGATTTGATGAAATGCAACAATAAGCAAGGATGTGAAAGTCAAAGAGTTTGATCTGGAAAGCATAGCTTCAAGATAGAGTTTAAGTTTTCAAAGTTTTCTATTTTGAACGGCCAGATACTGCCATCTCTATAACCTGCACCCACAAGGACCCCCAACTATGGACAGGCTTGCCCTTTGTAACAGCTGACATGTTATTCTCTCGAACCTCCCATGGTGTCAGATTTACTATGGGGTGACTGATGACAAATAACAGTCATAAGGAACAGATCCCCTGAGAAAGAGAGAGGGCTAAATACACATAGAAATAGAATTTTAAGCTCTTTTAGCTTGTGTAACACAAAGATAGTTTAGTCTTCAGCAAGAAATATCCTGCCAGAGCATTTCCACTCCCACCAGTGTAGAGAAAACTTGGGGTTACGAAGTCATTTGTATTTACCCATGGCGAATTCTCTAATAAAGATTTAAAAAACTGGATAAAATTTATTACCAGCCTCTTGTCTTGAAAACGATAGGAAGAGTCCTGTGCTATGCTTTTGGAAAATTCTTGTATCTGCAGTGAAAAATGCAACATTTCATTAATGGCATGGTATCTTATGTTTAAATTTGGTTACTTTTATTGTTCATAATAAGCTTTAAAAGTATTACTTTAGTCTTCAGTTGATCAGTCTGTTCTTTTAACTTCTGACACATCTGTTTCCCTTGGGATAGCTTTTGAAATATACAAGAACTTGAGGAAGGGTCTTTCTGAGAAGCTGATGACAACTTAAAGAGACTTGTCTCAGGTTTTAGTCCTATATAAGAGAGAATAAATTTTGGCCACCATTCATCCCAACTCCATTGCAGTTTTATTAATTACTGAAAAGAGAAGTCTGTGTCAATCACCACCAATTGTTATTAAAAAGTTTTCAAAATGTATATCTAAATCAAAGAAGTTTAAAAACACGAATACCTGTGAGATGTTCTTGGTGGATACGTATTGTGGGTTCCATCTGCACAATTAAAGGATAAGAAAACATTACTGTTGATACTGATCAACGACGCCATTACTCAGAATGACCTGATGTTATGGTCATTGTGGAGGCAGCCCAGTATTGCATCAAAAGCTGGGGCCCTGATGCCAAGGTTGAATTCCATTCTGGCACTTATCTGCCGGGTGACCCAGGGCAATGACTGCATCATCGTTAACCTCAAATTCCTCAGCAGTAAAACAGTAATAGAATCTACCTCATAGGATTGTTATGAGGATTAAATGTTAAGTATTTGCCATAATATTTGGCACATGGTAAGTATTCAATATCTGTTAGCTGTTACTACTATCCTATTTGATACTACTCCATGGAATGCTCAAACATTTCTCCTAAAACTAGACCATAAGATCCACGAGGGCAAGGACCATTGTTGAGCTCATCACCAGCTCTATTGCTGGTGCTCTCACTAACACCAAACACATGACAGCTGCATTCTGGACAGTAACATAAAACAGTATGCATTAAGTTCCAAAACGTGTGTCAAGATAGTAATTGTTTATACAGGACGCGTTTCTACTCACCACAGGCTAATTGGACAGGAGTTTAAACTCCAAAGTAATTCACCATGAGGGTCTCCCATTGTTCCCAACACATAAAGTTCAGAAACACACTAGCGCCAGAGAGCTAAGTGGTAGTGGTCAAACTAGACTAAGGTTATTATGAGTACCTTAATTATATGATGGATATGGAGACGATAGAGTCCAGTTCTCCAACCTGAATTGACAGGACTAGAGTAAATCAGACGCCTGACTTCAGACTCCCACTGCCAGAGGGAGATGAACCTGATATCCATTCTGCTCCTACTAACAACACCGGGGCTCTGAGAACTGTGCACACCCGGAGGTGTTCTCCTGCAAGCAGAATGGGGAACCCTGAGACTTCCCAATGTCACAGGGTGCAGATTTCTCCAAGACTTAGAGAAGCATCCCAGTCAGGCCGGGGGTGTGTGTGTGCATGGGTTCTGCTGAAACTCCCCAGAGCATTCAGTTGAAAGAGAAGGGAGTTAAAGTATGAAGGGGTGGAAATGGAAACAGAGAGTGTTGTTCAGTCCAGGATGCCCTTCATATAGGGCTTAAAAAAAAAAAAAAAGCGTATAGTCCTGGAAAAGTGCCAGAAAACTAAAATATATACTTTGATCATTAATATGAACTTTCCCAGCTACTGAACCTCAAATAATCGACAAGACCCTGAGCCTCAGCATGTTGGGAAGTTGGGTAGGTAGATGGGAAGATGGGGAAAAGAGAAATAATATACATTAGGCATTAACAAAATTAATAGTTACCAATATAACAATCTTGGAATAGGTTAAAAAGATCTTAATTCAATCCAATTTAGCATTAATAACTAAGGGCATAACATATGCCAGACCCAAAGCCAGGCCTCTGGAGGAAGTTAGGTAATGGAAAGATAAAGACAAGATTGCTGCCCTCTAGTTTTCAAATCTAGTGGAAGCAACAGATATTCCCAAATTATTATGATTCACAGCAGGCTGAGATAAACGCTCTGACAGCATACGGAAAAAACAAGGATGAGAAAGATTGTCACTGGGGGGACCTGAAAAATTCTGTGGCCAACGGGGACTTGAAGGAGGCCATGAAAACGAGCAGGTCTCTGGTAAGCAGAGACAGGATTTTCCATGTAAGGCAGGAGCTCAGAGAGTTCAGGGCCTAAGGAGAGGTTGGGGGACCAGCCAGGTAACTGAGGATGACTCCTGGGGAAGGGGCCCTAAGTTTAGAAGGGTAGGATAAAGCAAAAATAATGGGGAAACTCAAATTCCAAGTCAAAGAATTTGGATTTTATTCTATTATGTGTTGTTGTTAGTCTGGCCCCTGATCTTCCCATGAGGACGCTCCCTGAGCTTCTGAGAGGTCAAGGCACTCAGCCAGAACTAGAACCCAGAACCTCAGAGCTAGAACTCAGTTTCATGTGCCTTCCAAAGACACACACTGATACAGATGAGTGGGGGCCCTGATTATACATTTCCTGGAGACTACTGTTACTTACCTCTATCTGTTCCGATGGTTCAGTAGTCTTCATTTTCGGCTCTTGTATTTCAACACAATTTGACCTAGACATGTTTTCTAAAATATCTTGCATAATAGCTGACTTATATCTCCAGTTAGGAGAAAAGTTGGCTTGTTTATCTATTGTAATTGGTTCCTCAATTATGCTACTTTTAGGGATTTTTACTTTGGGAGCAACCTTAGAGAAATCAGAGAGCAGGCAATGAACTTGATCTTGGCCATGTTTAAACCCATTGCCTGAACTTGCTTTTTCAGTCTGCTGTTTCTGGGGTGTCTGCCCTTGGCAACTTTTTTGTTTATCACTTGGACTCTCGATTTTAGTTGGAAAATTTGACTTTTCTTGCTGGCTGCTGTCTCCAGACAGCTCTTCTACATCAGAGCTGTTTCCTTCTGTCGTGGTTGGAGAACAAGTGGGCTTATTGCTGTTTTCATCATCCGCTTTGGGGTTGAGTTGGTCAGTGAGTTCTGGGGTTTGTTCTTTTGGCCAAGAATGCTTAACATACTGCAAAATAATGTTTTTACTAATAGTTTCATCAAAACTGTCAGCATTAGAGATCTCTGGGAGAGTTTCACAATTAATGCCTTGACCTTTTAAGAATTCCTCTTTAGAAAGATGATGAAGTAAAATATCAGAAATGTTTGACTTTGCAGGGTGTCTTTTATCAGCTGGAATATGAAGATTTACGGTGCATTGTTTCTCTTCATCACAGTTTTTGTTGACAGCATCTTCAGTCATTTTATCCAGAGACATGGCCATGTCTTCGTTCCTGCAAGTCTCCTTATGTGGAGTCTTTTCTTGAGGGTCATCTATCGCTAAAGTAATTTGATTTGAGACATCAAGGACGTCATTTTTTGAGGTAAAATTGCAATCACTGTATATCTTAACTTGGGAGAAATCTCCATCATAAGGCAAATCCTCCTGTTGCTTAGAAGTTGTATCTTCTGAGAAATCGGCTTCATCCATGTATGTGCAGCCTGACCTCCTTTGTCCTTTGCAGCCTGGTCTTGATGTTCTCAATTGTAAGAGTAGATCTTCTGGTTTTCATGGATTGTCTTCATTGTGTGTCCCATTCTGTGCAAAACGAGAGGAGCCTCGTTGTTAAATATATCGGAATAATGTGTGTAACTATGCTTATCCTGGTGTCTATGCCAGAACAAAATGGATGCTTCTCATTTAGAGAAATTCAGTTATAAACATGAAGGCAGAAAGCTCAGTCAAGAGCTAACTCATTCTAAATACCATATTAACATAATTAGTGGTATATAAGCAAGGAATTCAAAAAAGAGAGGGGGCAGGTTTTAAAGTTTTCATTCATTAAACTTTGAGGGAGACATTGGTCTCTAATTAACGACTAAATATTTATCAAATGTTTAATATAAAAAATTTTAATATATTTAATATATAAATATTTATGAAATGTTTATCTTAGGAGATGCTATTTGGAATTTCTTCTGAAAAGGGAACTTGGGATGCAAGTAAAGGATTGATTTTTTAAAGTACCGTGGCAGTCCCCTGTCCACACATCACTGGTGGGCCTCCATGTTGTGTGGCACTGAAAGTTGGCTCAGTGCAAACGAAACCACCATCCTTCTCTGTTCTGGTGCTTTTTCATCTGTCCCTCCAGACATTCTGGTCCCCTTCTCCTGATTTTCCCTCGTTTGTGGGAGAAAGGCACAGAAAGACTGACAGAAATATGAACAAGGAATAAAAAGGCCTTTTGAACACCTGGAGGCTAGTCTGCCACTAAGCATCCCTCCTCTGATTAGAACCCAGGCAGAACCCAGTCAGAGAGGCTGCCTTGCTCTGAGCAGTCACAACAAACTGCCACAGTCTGGTGGTAGCAGTATAATTTGGGGATGCTCCTGAAAATGGTCAGAGCAAAACCAGCTGCCATTTGGTATGTCTTTTTTCTTTTAAATAAAACTGAAAACATCCATTTGGATAGCTCTTCTTGATTTGTGAACATTCAGGACAACTCCCTTTAGAAGTAGTGAAATTTCCTCCGGTTTTAGGCGGAGTAACTGAGGCTCTGACTCAAGCAGGGAACCCGCAGTCACCGGCCGGCCTCCCTTGCTCACGTAATGACGGAGTTGGATGAGTGGATCTCTGAGGTCCTCTCCCCATCTATGTTTTTATGAGTCTGTGAACTTGTGATTTATTAGGCAGCCCAAAAAGCTAAAGTAATATGTTTGACCAAATAATTGAACTAAATTCTCCAAGAAAAAAGGAGCACAAACTAAATGTGGTAAAGACGTCTATAAAGCATTGTTCAAAAATCTTAATTTATAGATATGTACCAATGTTAGAGAACTCAAGTCAAAAAGACATTTTGTTTAAAGCAGTAGAGATAGATGAAGAGAGAGCAGAATCACTATAGGATTACTTTTAAATCATTTACAGTATCTAATATTTACTGTCAAGTGTGGTATATCTTCATGAACAGAATTACAGGCTGCTCCAACCCAAGTGGAGGAACCAGGGAAATCTTTCCCAGGAAAGTCAAAAGCCCAGTGGGAGAGCAGGAGATGCAAGACCTGGGTTTGAATTCTGGCTTCTCCGCTCATTAGCTGCATACCATCGGGCAAGTTACTTAACTTTTCTGAGTCTTAGTTTCCTCCTCTGAAAAACAGTAATAATAATACTTAGTTCACAGGTTTGGTAGATGAACATGAGATAATGCACGTGAAGCTCTTGGCATGGTGCTTGGCATAAGTGAACGTTCAATAAATGGTTGTTTAAAAATGAAAGACGAAACCAATCTCAGTGCTGGAATACTGGAGAATGCCCGGGTGCAGAAGGCTGGATACTCTTTATCTACGGGGATAGTTAAAGGATAAAGGAAGAAATGGCATATATCATCTCTATAAGGGCTTTAAAACTATTTTTAAAAATCTACCTGTAAATGTATACAATGTTTGATGGTGAAAACTATCACTAAATAATTTTAATAAAAATTTAAATGTTTAATAAAACATTGTCTAAGACATCCAAATGGCCCACAGGTACATGAAAAAATGCTCAACATCACTAATCATCAGGGAAATGCAAATCAAAACCACAATGAGATATCACCTCACACCTGTTAGAATGACTATCATCAAGAAGACAAGAGATAACAAATGTTCTCGAGGATGTGGAGAAAAGGGACCCGTTGTGCACTGTTGCTAGGAATGTAAATTGGTGCAGCCACTATGGAAAACAGTATGGAGGTTCCTCAAAAATTTAAAAGTATATGTACCCCTATGTTCATCACAGCACTATTCACAGTAGCCAAGACATGTAAACTATTCAAGTGCCCATCAACTGACGATTGGATAAAGACGATGTGGTGTATACATGTACAATGGAATACTACTCAGCCATAAAAAAAGACAAGTTCATCCTATTTGCAACAACATGGAAAGACCTGGAGGGAATCATGCTTAGCGAAATAAGCCAGACTGAGAAAGACAAACACCAGATGACTTCACTCATATGTGGAATATAAACAAGCACATGGACAAAAAAGCAGTTCAGTGGTTACCAGGGGAAGTGGTTACCAGGTGGGCATAGGGGGTGAAGGGGAGCACCTCTATGTGGTGACAGACAAGAAATAACGTACAACTGGAATTTCACAATGATGTAAACCATTATGAACTCAAATTTTTTTTTAATTACAAAAAAAAAGAGTTAAAAGTAGATCTACCATATGATCTGTCAGTTCCACTTCTGGGTGTATACCCAAAGGAAATGAAAACAGGATCTCAAAGAGATATCTGCGTTCCCATGTTTGCTGCAACACTATTCACAACAGTCAAGATGCGAAAACAACTTAAGTGTTCATCAGCGGGTGAATGGATAAAGAAAACGTGATAAATATGTATACAATGAAATATTATTCAGCCATGAGAAAGAAGGACATCCTGCCATTTGCAACAACGTGGAGGGACCTTGAGCACAATAGGCTAAGTCAGCCAGAGAAAGACAAGGGCTGTATGATATCACTTTTATGTGGAATCAAAAAGCCAAACTCATAAAAAGGGAGAGTAAAATGGTAGTTACCAGGGGATGGGGTCGGGGAGGGATAGGATAGATATTGTTTAAGGGCACAAACTTGCAATGAGTAGTAAATAACCCCTAGAGATCTAATGCACAGTATAGTGAATAGAGACAACAATACTGTGTTATAATCATCAAACTTGCTAAAAGATTAGAACCTAGTTATTCCAAACACTAAAAAGAAACAATAATTAGGTAACATGATAGAGGTGCTAATTATCGCTATAATGGCAATCATATCATGATATACAAATGTATCATTTATACACATTAACATGTTGTACACCTTAAAATTACACAATGTTATATGTCAAATATGTTTCAATTAAAAAAACGTTGTCTAATTTTTGAGGGAAAAAAAGAGAATCTTTAAGTGCCTACAGGGAAAAGAGAAAAGAAAGATGAATTCTAGTCTTGTAGGACTTTTAATGACCTAAGCTACAGTCCCAAACTCATCTCATGCCTTCCTTGTATCCTGAGGTGCTTATTGCTGAGCTCTATGAACTTCTTGCTAAGGAAAAAAAGACCCTTTGTTAGCCAGATCCTAGTTTCTAAAGTATCATTCCATTTAAACTGATAAAATTTAATTTTTGCTATGACTCTTAAGAAAAAAAGAGAGATGGCCAAGATAAGCCAGAAACCTGAGAAACTCTCTCATTACACACAGGAAAACAGCTTCTGTTATTATTATTGTTATTGTCATTTTTTTATGTCCCTGCAAACTATCAAAAGGATTTCTTCTGTAAAAGAACAATCTACATCCTTAGCGTTGTAACGAACCTCTTACAGGCAGCTGGAAGGAACTGGAACATCTCCCCACGTCAATACCCAGCTCAATCTTGAAGTTCAAAGGCGCATCCGAAGAGATTCTGGTCAGAACCCAACAGAATCTTTCTATAGAACCTGATTTGGTTTACTGAGTTCAGGTGAGCACATTTGGGGCCACGACAGCTTATGCAGCTATACTGACCATTATGTGCTCAGCAATAGCTCACAAATCACCCTGAGCATGAGCACTTTGAGTAAATGCAGCCAGCACCTCCCAGGGACCCAGCCCTGTGAAAACACTTCAGTCTGGGCCCAGAGCAGGGGTGAAGAGCAAGGGGCTCACTATGGCTCTTCCTTGTGTGGTCTACGTTAGTATGAAGTCTGAATTTAGTGTTGAAGTGCTGACTTAAGCTCACCAATTTGCCTAGTGTAAGAGAAGAAGGATAACCATGTTGGGATGACAGGGAATTTGATGGAATCAATTAAGAGTGTCTATAGATGGGAAAACCAAAACTCCTTAGTGATTAGAGGTCAAAGATGATCAGTGAATCACTGTTTCTGGCTGGTAAGTGATATTTGTTCTATTCACTAAGCCCATTTATTATTATTATTGTTACCATTATTATCTTAGTAATACAAATGGTATTTATCATATCGGTGGACTGTCTCCATATTCAAAGGAAAACTGAGGAGCCATGTGCCTGTGACAATCTCTTAACTTCATCCCCAATACCCTCTCTTCTGTGTTTAGACCTCTGGTACCTCCAGGGTGTATATGACCAGAGGTAGAGGAGAAAGCAGGCGTTGTTTCCATGCACCCTCCCCTGCCTCCTCCACTAAAGTACCAGCCACTTAATACTCTCAGGTCCTGAACCTCACTCTTCTAAGATCAACCCTACAGACTGTAATGAAAATAGGATTTGACTCTTGGAGGCAATGATTCAACATCCAAATTCTTCTTACTCCTTTATACGTGTATCATTAAGAATGCGAATAGATGACAGTGGGAGCTTTAAGTACACGATCCAACAATATTTTGTACTGCGAAAAGCAATGTGCTGCTCTGAGTCTTCAACCAACACCCGCTTCAGTCAACACAAAGAGGTAAGACAACAGCAGTAGCAATAGAAACTCACCTCCTTCTTGGGGTCTCTGGACATCACGGAGTGAACTGGTCGAAGGGCCTTGTAATACAGAGGAGCAATCCTTTAATTCCAAATCATGTTTCTTTTTTTTAATAGTTGGAAGTCAGCTGCAAATGAATAATAGAACAATAAGTGAGCTTCAATGTCATGGTGTGTCTCCTTCTGGGCTTCCTTCAATTGCAAGAAATCAGCCTTGAAGACCACATAGCGAACTTCTGATGTGATCTAAACTTGTCTTTATTATTTTTTTAATCTTTTAAGAGCATTCAAAAATACTTAGTTTGACTCTGTTTTAATTTTCAAATTCTCTCCCTCTATTCCTAGCTCAAGATTTCTATTTACCCATGAAAGCAAATAGGAGATGGTTCAGAATAGCATGTCCTTAGGCCACGCCCAGAGGTCAGGTATTCGTGGATTTTGTATCCCGTGTACCGTGTTTCTAGATTAAAATATTTCCAAAGGTAATGTGATACAAGCTCCCGCTGCAATGACTGCATTTGATTACACTCTGGCAATCCTACCAGCTAACTTTATCTCAGAAACGTGGGGTGCCCACAAATGCAATGTCTGTAACTGTATCCATATACTACTCAGCGTGGGAGTCTGGCTTCATCCTGTTATTGCTGAGTGGCAGAAGGAAGACACTCTGATGGAGCAACAAATCAACCCAATACTCCCTTGGGAACCAGATGGATATATTATTTATAGTCAGTCTTAGAGACATAGGCCTTCTGTGAACGTGCATGAATTTGATGACCAGCTGTTACAAATTATTTATCCTGAAACTATTTTAAAAGTCAGAACAAAAAATCTTTGAAACTGTGAACAAACCAGTATTTGGCAAAGCTTCTTCTCAGTGTCCTACCAGCAGACTTTGCCGATTTTTCTTGCCTTTTGGGGGTCAGCACTGTCTTTTTATCCAATTTTCCCATTGATATAGCCACGTAATCATCACAAGTTGTCTAATTTGTACAGTAAACCATGGACCTTTGCTGTACTTTGGGAACCTTTAGAAAACTCTTACCAATTGATGTTCTAAAAATACTTCTAATGACAAATTTGAAAAGACACTGATTTAAAGAAGTATATATATATATTTTTTTAAATCTCATCCCTTCCTTAAACTTTCTAGTATAAGTTTGGCAACCTCTGTCTGGAGATAAGAAGGGCCAGAATATTTTAGGAAATTTTTTTCTCTTTTATCTAAAGACTTATCCTTCTCTCCCTGACCTTCCATCCCCTGCCTAAAGAAGGAAGACTGACCTGAAATTATAATTAAAAAATAATAATAAGGAATAAAATCTCGAACATATTGTACATTGATGCCTGATCTGTGCTCCTCAGAATGATTTCTAAAAGTTACCATTTTGACTAAAAGTTTGTCCTTGCATTAGAAAAAAAAAAAATCTAAAGGATGACTCCCAAAATCTCTCTGTGGTGTGATTACAGAAAATAAATTTTATTTTCTTATTAGAGCTGTTCCTTCATTTATTAAACAAATATTTATTGAACACACCTACTAGGTGCAAGGCACTATGCTAGGTCCTGGATTGAAAAGGAAATACAGAAATTGGTTAGGAGTGTGGACTTTGGTGCCAGACTGGGTTTGTAGCTTGGCTCCGCTACTCTCTAGCTGTGCATTTTGGGCAAGTTGTTTAACTTCTCTGTTCCTCTGTAAAATGTCCATCTCTACATTGTCTGTCCATCCATTTGTTCGTCTGTAAAGCGAGGATATTAATAGCACACATAGGGTTGTGAGGATTATGGGAGTTAGTTTTTTAAATCATCACCTACATAGCACTTACTATTTGCCTTACACTGTTCTAAGCACTTTACAAATATTAATTCATTAATTGCATGCAAAGGATTTAGAATATTGTATATTATAAATGGCGGTAAGTGCTATGAAGGTTAGGAGAAGGAAGGAAAACTTTCTTGAGAGAGGACAGGCAGGGAAAGGCTCTCTGAGGACCTGTTTTTCAACCTGGAGCCTGAAGGATGCAAGCCAGCCATGAAAGGGTCGGGGCAGAACGTTCTGGGCAGAGGGGCACGTGTGCAAAGACCTGAGGATGAAAAAGAACTTTGTGTATTGGGAAGCTGAAGGGAGCTAGCGTGAAGATTAAAGAAATGAATGTCTTTGGGATATAAGCCATATTTTGGAGGAAAAATCAACAGAACCTGACAATTTGCTTGTAGAGGTAGGTGAGGGTGAGGGAGGAATTAATCCTGACTCCTTGCTCATGCTTTCTTGCATTGTCCAAGTATTTTATAATAAAGTTCATTTGAACCAATAAGAAAATGACCCCAAAGAGCAAAGCACATGAATCAATAGAAAAGGAAATATACGTAGCATTTAAAAATATGAAAAGATGATTATCTAAATACGTGGAAAGATGGTCACCTTCATTAGAGCACATTGTTCTATAGTTTAAACATACTTGTAGCCAACTACCATTTGCTGAGTACTTATGAGCCACGTACCATAGTTGTCTAACCCTCGTTCAGGCACCTCGTGCTCTGGGGACAGCAGAACACGAGTTTGAACCCTGGTTTTGCCACTTTCTAGATTCATAATTTTGGGCAATTTACCTAACTTCTCTGAGCCTTATTTTCCTACTTTATAAAAAGTAGGAAAAAGTGGTGATGACATCTCTACCTCAAAGGGTTAATATAAGAATGAAATAAGATAATGCATTTACTTAGTTCAGTGTCTGTCAGGCAGTACGTCCAATAAATGGCAGCCATTACAATGTAACCTGAGTCCCAATGCAGTATAAATCCTCCTCCACCCTCACCCCAAGATGAATAATCCTGATGAACCAGTTGTGTATTCAGAAATGTGTGCAGATAGTAATGCTCTCTAAATAAATGCGGCATAGTGGAGCTGGATGATGCCTATTTGAGCTTTAACACATGCATGGGGTTTAGAACAGTGTACGGCACATAAAGTCTGAGAAATACTAGCTGTAAAAAATTATTATTGGGGCTAGCCCTGTGGCCAAGTGGTTAAGTTCACGCACCCCACTTCGATGGCTCAGGGTTTTACAGTTCAGATCCTGGGTGTGGACCTAGCACCGCTCATCAGGCCATGCTGGGGTGGCATCCCACATGCCACAACTAGAGGGACCTACAACTAGACTATACAACGATGTACAGGGGGGCTTTGGGGAGGAGAGAGAAAAAAAAGAGGAAGATTGGCAATACGCTCAGGGCCAATCGTTAAAAAAAATTATTATTAACTGTTACATAAAATATCTCTTTCAGAGGCCGGGCTGGTGGCACAGAGGTTAAGTTCGCACGTTCTGCTTCGCCAGCCTGGGGTTTGCTGGTTCAGATCCAGGGTGCGGACATGGCACCAACTGGCAAGCCATGCTGTGGTAGGCGTCCCACATATAAAGTAGAGGAAGAGGGGTACAGATGTTAGCTTAGGGCCAGTCTTCCTCAGAAAAAAAACAGGGGGATTGGCAGCAGGTGTTAGCTCAGGGCTAATCTTCCTCAAAAAAAAAATCTCTTTCAGTACTTCAGAATTTTAGCTTTTTAGTCATTCGGTATGGTTTTATATAAGAAACAAGGATTTGAAATGTAAATCTGTTATAAATTATGCCTTTATAGAAAAATGTTAGCTCACACTTTTTCCCTAGTCTCTTTCTTGTAAAAAGCATAAAGCTCTTTAAATACTAATCAGACACCCCCCAACATGATTATGAAGTAAATATTATCTAATCCAATATTGAAATGCCAACTGTTATTGGACAATTTTAGCGGCTATATTAAAATACCGGAAGTGACAACCATACAAAGGTAAACAACACTCAACATTCAGCCTTTTATGATAGGCTTGTGCAGGCTTAATAAACATTAATTAATTAAGACTCCCAACACCACGGTGAGGTATTTCTTCACCCTCTCAAGCAACATCATCATCTCAGAGCTGGAACCTCAGTACAGTGCTAAGCAATTTAGGACCGGAAATAATTACTTGCTCAAAAGATAACAGCACTTTGCATCTAAATAACACTTTTTAACCAAGAGCATCCAACCACATTACAAACTCTAATTAAACGCTCTCAGAGACTTGTAAGTATCTCCCTATAACCTCGTGGAACAGATTGAAGGAGAGAAAGAAATTTAGCCAAAATGACACAGCCAGTCACAGGCATCGAGGATTTAGTCCCTTTGATTCAAGTGTTGGGTGGGAAGTGAGGAAAGCAAAGCTTTGTTGAGGGCCTGCTTTGTGTATCATCTCATCAATAGTCTCCACAGCCCCCCTCGGTGAATTCTGTATCATCCTTCCTTTAAGACAGGGAACGAGCTCAGAGGAGCAACTAGGATGGGTCGTTTGATCCCAAAGCTGCCTTGCTTCCACTCCTATTAGACCACTTGTCAAAAAGTAGAAGAAGAAAGAGGTGTTCAGACTCACCAGCGTTATATATTTTTTTTACAGGATTGGTAATTATATCAGTTTTCTATTGTTGCTATAATAAATCATCGCAAACTTAGTGGCTTAAAACATCACAAATTTGTTGTCTTTCAGTTGTGGAAGTCAGAAGTCTGCAAATGGGTTTCACTGAGCTAAAATCAAGGTGTCGGAGGGCTGCATTCCTTCTGCAGGCTTTGGGGCAGAATCCATTTCTTTGCCTTTTTCAGCTTCTAAAGATTGCCTGAATTCCTCGGCCTGTGGTCCCTTCCTCCATCTTCAAAGCCGACATCACAGCATCTTAAAATCTCTTCTAGACTCTGACCCTCTGGCCTCCCTCTTTCACTTTTAAGGACCCCTGTGATTAAATTGATAATACGCCCAGATAATCCAGGATAGTCTCTTCACCTCAAGATCCTTAACTTAATCACACCTGCAAAGGCCGTTTTGAATGTAAAGTAACATCTTCATAGTTTCCAGGGATCAGGACAGGGACATCTTTGAAAGAAGTTATTTTGCTTACCACAGTACTTTTTTATAATTTGGAGAATTCTTAGAAAACTGGATTTATGCCTTATCATGTCATCCCTAAGCAGCATCTCTTGTAGACTCTAGAGGGGATGGTGGCCTCCAAAGCCCTTCCTAATGGGGAGCTTGGTCAGACAGCAAATTTGTTGAAACATAGTAAATACTATAGGAGGGCGTACCTCAAAAATGAAAAGTTCTAAAAAATAAAAAATAACTATTGATACATACAACTACATGGATGAATCTCAAAATAATTATGCTGCTTGAAAGAAGCCAGACCAAAAAAAAGAGTACATACTGTATGATTCCATGTAAGTAAAAGTCTACAAA